GTGCCTTATCACGTCTTCGAGACATCTCAATGCATTTCGCGGAATATATTGAATATTGAATTGACTGTATATTTTGTGGGCGAAACGCGGCAGCCAATTATGCACAGACAATTGTCCCACAAACAGTCGTGGATTGAGTGATGAAAGTTATGAAGGGATTATTACCCCTGGAAAAGCGATCTGCCATTCAACTAAAACTGGGTTCCTGCTTACTCCCAGGTAAACAGAGACGTGTGGAGTAAGGAAACTTGCCTAACGTTTCACCCTGTCTGGGAATCTAATCACTATGCTACACAGTTCCACTTTGAGAGCTTTCTGGCTATATGTTCACATAGTAGTCACCAGCACATTCTCTACTACTACACAAAGTCATGATTGAAAGTAGGCTTCAGTCACAAATATTCTTATGGATTACAACTGCAAACAGCTTCCCACCTCTCACCCTAGTGACAAATTCCTGCCCAGTGATGGAGAGAGGCACTTATAGGAGCATTGAATTTAGAGAATGTGCCCTATACAACTCGTGTCTGGTATATAAACAGGCTTAAACTTTGTGAACAGTCTGTGCATTCTGATCGTCAAAGAAGACATCTGCAACAATTTAGTGAGAGTATAGAGTAGTTTGGAGGTAGTAGTTAATAAGTGCTCCGAGACGTCCGGCGTGATGGGCGCTATATAAATGCAAGTTGTTGTTGTCAATATCATGCTAGATCAAAACAAAGTGCCTTCGATTTTCAATGAATACCTGTACTTATCAGAAGAGATAAACCCAATTTGCTATAGTTGATTGTGAATAAAGGCGTTCGTTCACAAGAGTACCGACCGTCTGTCATCCAGAATAGAATTAATTGCTAGAATTTGTTCAATTAGCCAAAGTATTGTACTGTAATGTATCTTAACTTTTTTCGAGTAGCCATAAAAGTATTATTTAAGCTATACAATTAATTAAATGTATATCCTAAAAAGGGGATTTTAGTTTTGGTACATCTTATTCCTTAACTAAATTAGGCTCTTTTTTGAGTAACTTTACTCAACCTTTGGACTTATTGTTTTAACCCTCAGGTTTGCAGTTGTGGCTTTGGTACTTCCCCCAGCTGCCTGGAGGGTAAAGTAATCAGACAGTACTAAATAATAAAGATCGGAAAGTGTTCAATTCCAGGTCTGTACTCAGTTTACTGGTCTCAGGTTGTTGTTTTTGTGTGGAGGGTTTCTCCCTTCCCAGGAATTGAGCCCAGGTCCTCTCGCTTGCGAGGCAAATGCTCTAACCAAGACGGTTCAGAACTCCAGGGATGAAGTTCCAGAGGGTGGGGGCAGAAAGGCTGAAGGCCTGACCAATTAACCTCCACACCCATTAGAAACAGAGGGGAAGAATCAACTAGGTTTCCCCTAATCACAACCACTGATGGAAAGCACTTGTGTGAGCGCAGGATTTGCAGTGATACATGGTGAAATAGCTTGCTGACATTTATTTGTAGGGTTACGGATGACCACATTGGCAAGATAATGAAGGGCCACCACACTAGTAGAAGTGTTACCTCAACCACAGTAAGTTCCTTCGGGAGAATAACTGAAAATTGATCCAAATAAGTTACTCTTTTGATTATTTTCTTACATATTTACAGTTTTTACCCACGGTCACCCCCTCCCCCACACATAACCCAGTTAAATTGCCTGAGGGTGAGATTTGATCTTCAATAGGAATTCACATATACCTATTTGTTTTAGCCAATATAATCAGATCTTTGAACCCCTACACATATTCTGAGCACAATCTACCTCACTTGGCCTCTTATCAATTTTGTAGACTGTAAAAAGATGACTGTTTTTCCCCTCCTAACCCGCCCACCTTTTTACCCTCCTACCTTTTCCTACCTCGTGGAACCATGGTTGTGACTTGATTTGGCAGCTTGCTTGGATTTTAGCTTGCTCCTGTAACATGTGCCATCATGTATTATACAGGGCCTTCCTCTTCCCTTGTACTATCCCCTGTACTATCAGGAGTCCTGTAGCTCAGTGGTTAGAGTGCTCGCCTTGCAAACGAGAGACCTGGGTTCGATTCCCATTAGGGTGAAACCTTGGGCAAGTTTCCTTACTTCACACACCTGATAATAATCCCTCAAGAAAAAAAACTAATAAAATTGCTCACTTCAATCCTCGACTGTTTGTGGGACACTGCTGTGCGCAATTCACTACCATGTTTCGCCCACAAATATACAGTTAATTCACTTTACTCTGTGAATCGCTTTGAGACGTCTAGAAGATGTGAAAAGCGCTATATCAAATGCAAGGATTATTTATATTATTACTATAAAATATGCATTTTGACTTTAGTTAATTTTTTGAGAGACAGGAAAACATTCAGCTTCATGCTTTTAATTTTATTCATTCTTTATCTTTGTACAGAAGTAAAAACAGCCATAATACATTTTGACAGACAGTAATGTTGCTGCCTACACTAATGCATCTTTAATGCATGGAGTGATGCCATAGTTATTAATAATAATCCTTGCATTTGATACAGTGCCTTATCAGATCGTTGAGACGTCTCAAAGTGTTTCACAGAATCTAGTGTAAAGTGAATTAACTGTATATTTTGTGGGTGAAATGCGACAGGACAGACAGGACAGACCAGTTATAAAGGATATTCAGGTTTCTGACGGTTTTTCTACTTCTCCGGGATTCACCTTTTAACTGCATACAATCCTGTTCTCTTAATCTCCACCCTCAATAATTTCTGCCTCAATGAGTGGTTAAGCTTGAGCGGAAATACTAGTTCTTCATAGTCTTTTGATAAACTAAGACTGGAACTGCTTTCCTGACTTGCTTGTTGTTCTCACTGAGTATTCATTGAGTTTATTTGTTCCAAAGAATAATTGTTAACTCATACAAAGATTATTTCTGTTCTGGAGTGTGGAAAAGAGCATAATTTTAAAATGTTGAACAGATAACTGAACTGTTGCAAGTCTCAGTTTAATCTTGTAAATGGGAACTGGAACCTATTTTATTCTTAATGTTCTGCCTCTTAATTTGAATCATCTTGTTATTTTAATCTCTTTAAGAAAGAGAGTCACTGAGGGAGTCATTTGACATCCAACAAGCAGGGTTTTGAGCCCTTCCTGAAATTATTCCATTGATAATCGTGTTACACAAAACTGTTCCAAATAACGATAATGAATACAGAAATGTTTAATCCATCATAGTAGACCCCCTCCCCCCAATGAATTGTCTTTTTCTTTAATGAGTAATTTACAGTGGAATGTTCTTGGAGTCATTTTCACTATTGTGGAGTCCTGTAGCTCAGTGGTTAGAGCGCTCGCCTCGCAAGCGAGAGAACTGGGTTCTATTCCCCGCTGGGCAAAATGTTGGGCAAGCAAGTTTCCTTGCTCCACATGCCTCTGTTTACCTAGCAGTAAGTAGGAACCCGGTTGTTAGTCAAGTGGCAGATCACTTTTCTGGGGATAATAATCACTAACAAAAATAATAATTTGGTCACTCAATCCAAGACTGTTTGTGGGACACTGCTGTGCACAATTGGCTGCCGCATTTCTCCTACAAATACAAGTCAATTTGCTTTGCAGTACATTCTGTGAAGCTCTTTGCGATGTCTAAAAGATGTGAAATGCGCTATATCAAATGCATGGATTATTATTAATTCGAGGCTCTGCTGCAATTTGCAATCTCCATGAGAACATCTAAAGCAGCTTATCTTGTACGATTAATCTTGTTAGACCTCAAAGGATTTTGGAATATTAGCTGATTCTGGCAAATTCAAATTGAAACAAATTCAAGTCTGTGGGAAAATATAAATCTGTGTTCCTCAAAACGTTTTTTTAATTTGATAGTAATAATCATTACATTTGATATAGCGGCTTTCACATTGGGAGGACGTCTCAAAGCACTTCCTTGGATTTATTGCAAAATGTAGAGTATTTTGTAGGTAGTGAACAAAGCAAAGAATATTGAATACAATTGTCTATTAGGAGCTGAAGTGAGACTGAATTAACTTTCCTCAACTATTGGCTTGTTTCTTCACTTATTGTAGATTGAAATAGTGTGACGGCAAAATCTGTGCTTTTGATATGTTGTTGAAGAAAATGTTTGTACTGGTTGTGAGAGGGAGGAAAGCGGAAAAAGACCTTTCCTTTCCACACTGGAAAAAATAATGTTTTAAATAAATTTTAAACCTTAAATGGAGTGCTCCTTTTTCTCTATGCACATTTTCTAACAATATAGATATTCTCATACTAATTTTTTTGCCATTTATCTTTTTATTAAAATGAGTTTGAAAAAACATTGAATGTCATTCCATGTGCATCAAAGTAGATGTTTTGTCTTTGTGTTTTGAAGATGAAATGTGCTGACATTATTGACTATGCTGCTGGCTACAGTGCATTCTGAGAATCACATGTCCAGTATTGTAGAGAAACCTGTAATTTTTTTCCTGTGATGCTCCAGTCCTGCATTATTTACATCATTGACAGGCCAGTAGGTGTTAGATAGAAACAAAATGAATGCGTCAGGTGCATTAAGCAACAGTAATCCTGCCACCTCTTGCCAATTTGTTGATCATCTGAAACCTGAGATTGAATTGCTTTTCTTTTAATCCACTCCAGCTAAGCAATCTATTTTCTTAGGATTTTGTGAACTCTGCTTGTTCTGCAGCTTTTCTTTTGTTGTTGAGTGATCAATAAAATGCTCTATTGCTCTTTCTAGCGCTGATTTAGTTATAACTCTGTGATGGTGGGACCCCATTCAATGCAAATGCACACAACAGCCCACTTGCATACCGTTCGTGCATTGGCTTCCAACCAACTACTGTGGCCTTGTTATTACAAGGCTCCATTGTATTCTGTTCAGTAAAACTGTCACCAAAAAACTCCTTAAGTTTCAATGTGCACATTGCCCTAGCAAAACTCCAGTTTTTCTAGTATTATAATTTGTTTACTTTGCAAGGCACATCATCAACTGACTGTACCGCTATGTTCCTTTGTCATTTACAGAAAGTACTTTTCTGCAAGGAAATTACAGCTACTCAATTACGTTCCGAATGTCGCTGTTTCGATAATTTCCCACTGTGATTGGAAAAGTGGAAAGCAAGCTGGATTGCAGAAATAAAGGGTAGTATTGGATTCCAGAAACAGAAAACAGAAAAGATGACAAAACATACAAACGGAAAACTGTGACTGATTATGTGAGTAAACTTTATTTTCAACATTAGATGTTTTTCAGGCCTCAATATTACATCATTGAATATGAAAACAACTTTTTGTGGGCGAAATATCCACTCTATTGTTTCCTCATTACAGCATTAAACATGTTCTTAAATGAGTCCTATGTCCTATCCTTAACCACCTTTCATGGAAACCAATTCTATTGACTAATTACCCTTGTGCAAGGAAACATTGTCGTAAAATTGCTCTTCACAATGCTAAATCTATGCTCCAATGCCCTACAATTTAGTTCCAAATGGAAACCTAAATAATTAATGACATGTCTGGTATGCTGCTGTTAATTTTCAATGATTTTTCCAATGCAATCTTACTGTTTATTTCATATAAACATTGGTTTGTTGCTACAAATTAGGTTTTTCTGTACAAAGTATGTATGAGTAGTTTCATGCAATGCATATTTCAATATATAACGCATTGTCAAGGCCTTTTTTTAAACAACTGTTTGTGGGACACTGCTGTGCGCAATTGGTTGCCGCGTTCTGCCCACAAAATATACAGTCAATTCACTTGAGGTATATTCTGTGAAGTGCTTTGAGACATTTCAACGACGTGATATGGTGCTATATCAAATGCAAGGATTATTATTAAAACAAATTTGTCCTTCAAGTAATACATTCAACTTATAATTTTCCACCATTATCCCCCCTTGCCTATTTGCTATGCTCTCACTCCTGTCTTGAAGGTATTTTGTCCTTTTCCCCCTTCTATGGGTGTATCATTCCAATTAACCATTGTTTATAGATGAGCCTTGACAGCGCATATTGTCAGGCTATTTATAAAAGAGTATGACAAGACAGCTGCTTTGATAACGTCGACATCCAACACCTACACATTTCAGCATGTTCCTCTGGATTATGGTTGTTCACACACGAGTTTTGATGAAAGTGAATGTTGGCAGGCGAGGGGAGGGGTGAGATTAGTATGTATGAAATAACAAAGACCCTCAGTCCAGCAGTACCAAAATGCTTCACTGATTGTAATCACGAGCAGTTTCTGCAGTAAAGAGAGATACACTCTAGTTTTATAAAATGGCAGTCTAAAAGCCTGCAAATGTAGTACAGCTCCATAAATATTTAAACAGCTTTTACTCTCCAATTTTTTTTAGGAAACAAGATGGTTTATTTTTATCCTATTTACAATTCTGTGCAATATCAGAGTGGGTGGGTGATCTTCTAGGCCTTGTCTATCAATATGGCCTAAATCCATTTGGAGGAGGCTTGCCAAAGAAGAGCCTCTGATCCTTCCCTTCCTTTCTGTTGAGAAATGCCTGGCTTACTTTGTGCACCCTGCCAGAACAGCATAATTAAATCAGGAATTTAGCATGAAGTTGATCAGAGCTTTGAACCAGATTCCTACCACTCTGTCACGGTGCAATGACGCTTTAGCATTGAAATTCATTGTGCTATCCTGTTACTAATTTTTACTGCAAAATATTATGTAGTATATAATCCTTGCATTTGATATAGTGCCTTATCACATTGAGACGCCTCAAAGCGCTTCACAGAATATACTGTAAAGTGAATTGACTATTTTGCTGATGAAATGCGGCAGGCAAATGCACACAGCAGTGTTCCACAAACAGTCGTGGAGTGAGTGACCAAATTTGCATTTATTTATTTATTGGAGGGATTATTATCTCCGGAAAGCAAACCGCAATCGACTAGCAACTGGTTTCCTACTTATTGCTAGGTAAACAGGCGTGTGGAGTAAGGAAACTTGCCTCAGGTAAAACATGAAAGAATTGTAGATTGAAAGACTTGGCAGGGGCTTAGGGAGTCTTTGGCACCCATATGGGGAGAAGAGCAAGTTTGTCATTTTCAATGAAATGTTGGGCAAATGTTTCAAGAGAATGTTGCAACATAAGTTGTCATCAAATGTTTCTAAAACCTGCTTTTTTGAAGATGTTGGTTGGCTCTTTAAGCAATGGGGAAGATATCCTAACTGGCTTTTCATTCCAAACAGGGTCCATTATTCAAATTACCTCTCTACTCTGAGGTTACACTGAAGACATACAAGTACTTTAAGGTACTTTTTCAGTTCTGAAAAATGTTTAATAATCGTATGTATACATTCAAGTCAAATTAAGGGTTTAAAAAGTTGTAGATTCATTCCATCCATCCATTCCTCAGTAGTCAGAGCTTCAGTTGCTGTTGTTTTTACAGTTGCTTCTAACTTTAACAACATCAGTGTCCTACTTAAACAGTTGGTCAGAACTTTCCTTCATGGTTGACATACTGGGATTTTGGATTGTGAGATTAAAAGATCTGCCAAGAACTAATAAACCAATTGAACTGTCTCGATTGAGTTCATGTTGTTGTTCATAATGGCCTATGTTCCTAAGATGATGAGTATTGAAACATTCACTTGGTAGAATATCTTTTGAATTTTGTCTGGTGGCCAAAAATAGAGAAGCATTTTCAATCATATAGAACAACAATTTTTTGAATTAAAACGAGTGAGTGAGCAAGCACTAAAATAGCTGAAGTGCAATTTGCAATTCAATGAATGGCGAATGATTTTTTCACATTTTGTGTTGGGAACTGAGTTTGTATACTTAGATGATATGCCTTGGCAAATTAGGTTAATGCATGTAAATATAAGGTACTACATATAGGATGCAAGAATCAAAAAACACAAGTAATAATAATCCCTGCATTTGATATAACGCCTTATTCAGTTGTTGAGACGCATCAAAGAGCTTCACAGAATATTCCACGAAGTGAAATGACTGTATATTTTGTGGGCGAAACGCAACAGCCAATTGCCTACTGAAGTGCCTCACAAACAGTTGTGGATTGAGGATACATGACTGGTAACACAGCTGCACGCACTTATACATTGACTGATAAAATGAATAAAGTACTACATGATGTGATGGAACTTGCCAAAGGGAGAGAAGCTTCTTGCTGAAAGTGAAAGGGATCTTGGGGTGTTGATTTGTCATTCATTGAAGTAGGAATAAACAAGACATACAGACTGCTGGAATAAAGCACTAAATTAGTTGAGTTTAGATTGCCAAAAGTCATAGTGGGCTGTGCAGTACTCTGATCAGGCCACATGTAGAATATTGTATCCAGTTCTGGTCACCACGATATAAGGGGGCTGCCTAGGCCCTGGAGGCAGTGTCTATTTTATGGTCCTCACTGACCACATGTTGTAAAAGTTATCATTTGTTTCCAGCTCCTTTAGAACCACTTTATAGCAGCTTCCTTCTTTCCTGATAGATTGAACCTAGAAAACCCAGACTAAAGAGTAAAATCTTGAATGGCATCTTACGATCCAATTAAACCCACACATAGTGGACTGTCAGTTCATAACTGTCATCTTTATTAAAAACCCATGCTAATCAGGAATAGCTTAACAATATTCTGAGCTGGGGCTGTGCAACTTGTGCTGTTTACAGTGCAGACAGATTTCATAGCATAATAATAATAATCCTTGCATTTGATATAGCGCTTTTCACGTCTTCTCGACGTTTCAAAGCGCTTCACAGAATAGACTGTAAAGTGAATTGACCGTATATTTGTAGGCGAAACGCTGCAGCCAATTGCACACAGCAGTGACCCACAAATAGTCATGGATTGAAAATTACCAATTTATTATTGTTTTGTTTTGGAGGGATTATTATTAGGCTCTGTGTGGAGTAAGAAAACTTGCCCAAGGTTGAATTCATCTTTGATTTATTGAGGGAATTTGAGTTCTGGTTCATCAACTCATTATCTCTAAAACGGTTTAGTTTTCAACACTTATTGCTTATTCCTTAATTTTATCCACTTTCACATTGCTTTGAAGGAAACATAGAATCCATTCCATGGTAGTTATGTGGCTTAGTTGCCTTGTTCAGCAGCCCTCAGCTAATGTTTTAAACTAGACTATTAATTGTACTCTCCACTGCATAACTGCTTGGGCTTTGATTTCTAAATATAGATTCACCAGATTATCAGTGTAGTATATTTTGCACTGTTGGCATTTAGCAGGGGAGAATCCTTCATATATCCTTGCTTCTTCTCTGCTAAGTGCCAACAGTGCAAGTTTCCTTACTCCACGCACTTCTGTTTTCCTAGCAATAAGTAGGAACCCGGTTGTTAGTCGATTGGCGTATCGCTCTTCTTGGGGTAATAATCCCTTCAAAAAAATAATAATAATAATTTGATCACTCAATCCACATCTGTGTGGGATACTGCTGTGTGCAATTGGCAGCTATGTTTCGCCCACAAAATATGCAGTCAATTCACTGACTGGAATTGAAAAGAAAAAAATTACAGGGGTTTGGGGAAAGAGTGGTGGAGTTGGACTGATTAGCTCTTCTAAAGAACCGGAACAGGCTGTAATATTTTATGATTCTATGATCAGTCAGTTTATTTATCACATTGCTAGATCGCAATTGTGCTGTGTAGCTGTGTTGCATTTCTGGAAACCTTGCAGCAGAACAAATAAAAATATTTTTGCAGTTATTGCACTCAGATAACCTGACACATTAGCTGAAAAATCTAAATTTTTGGTAGAGTCCTATACGTTAGTGGTTAGAGCACTCTCTTCGCAAGTGAGAGGACCTGGGTTTGATTCCCGGACAGGGCGGAACGTTGGGCAAGTTTCCTTACTCCACACGCCTCTGTTTACCTAACAGTAAGTAGGAACCTTCTTGTTAGTCGATTGATGGATCGCTTTTCCAGGGGTAATAATCCCTTCAAAAAAAATAAATAATTTGGTCACTCAATCCACGACTGTTTGTCTGACACTGCTGTGAGCAATTGGCTGCTGCTTTTGCCCACAAAATAGACAGTCACTACACTTTACAGAATATTCTGCGAAGCTCTTTGAGACGTTTCAAAGACGTGATAAGGCGCTATATCAAATGCAAGGATTATTATAAATGGCACAATTAAGACCATAACTCATCCTACTAAGTTGTAAGTACATCACACATTCTAGCATTCTGCCAATGTGCTTCAAAATTCTGGGCAACCAATAGTGCCTCACTCTTTATAGTTACACCTAACCAGGATATCCTGTATGCTATTGTATTAACTTTTCTATAACAACAAGATACAGATGCTATAGTACCATTTTAAATAAATCTTACTTCAGGAACAAACTGGTCTCCAATAGTACCCATTAGCAACAAAGCTACACATTGATGGTGCTAAAATGCAGGTACTAAAGTCAAAATGAGTCATGAAATTAGATTTTTTTAAAATCTAAATTTAAAAACAGGTCATCACTATGCTTCACATAATATTTAAAAGCTCACATAAAATTCCATGGAGGTGCATAAACTAATGGGATATATTATAGCAACCGCCTCACTTTGATCCCAGAAGTTCATCATCACACATCACACTTTATACAACGTTTGTGATACAGTACAAAAAGAACACTTGGAAGTAAATACTACAATGATACAACTGACAGGTTCCAAATGTATTTCAGTGTTTTGGGATGTCCTCTCAATGTAAAAGACGCTACACAAATGTAATTTTTTGTTGTTATCAAATGTAAATGAAACGGTGAACATCAGCAATATAAGTAAAATGGAGAATAGAAACCAGCAAGATGATGAATTCTATTTAAATCAACAGAATATTTGTGGGTAAGCATTCTGGTGACTTTTTTAGCCTTTTCTGGAATTATCCATTTGGGTCAGCAGAACACAACCACACACTAATGTCGTTTCAAAGGCAGGTCCGATCAATGCTAATCCATCTGCAGTGTACATTTCTACTGTTTGCGAAGGGTTGAATGCTGAAGGTGTTTTTTTTATTGTAATCAAAGGTATAAATTCAGTGATTGGATTTTGAAAAAAAATAACTACTAGAAACATTTGAGTGTTACATGGACCATAATTACATTTCACATAATAATAATAACATCAAACTGAACAATTATGCTTTCAAAGTATACTCACACTAAATGATTCACATTCCATATGCAAACTATTTGAATTTGTTTTTAAGAAATAGAATTTATGGTTCACTCGCAGTTTTATTTGTGTACACAGTCAGTCCACTTTACAGTATATTATGGAGTCCTGTAATAATAATAATAAACCTTGCATTTGATATAGCGCTTTTCACATCGGGAGGACGTCCCAAAGCGCTTCACAGAATATACTGTACAGTGAATTGACTGTATATTTGTGGGCGAACGCGGCAGCCAATTGCGCACAGCAGCGTCCCACAAACAGTCGTGGATTGAAAATGACCAATTTATTATTGTTTTTGTTTTTTGAACGGATTATTATACACTGTAGCTCAGTGGCTAGAGCACTCACTTTGCAAGTGAGAGACCTGGGTTCGATTCCCGGCAGGGTGAAACCTTAGGTAAGTTTCCTTACTCCACACTCCTGATAATAATCCCTCAAGGAAAAAAAACAATAATAAATTGATCATTTCATTCCATGACTGTTTGTGGGACACTACTGTGCGCAATTGGCTGCCGCTTTTCGTTCACAAGCATACAGTCAATTCACATTATAGTCTATTCTGTGAAGCGCTTTCAGACGTCTAGAAGACGTGTAAAGCGCTATATCAAATGCAAGGATTATTATTATTATTGTGTGAAACACTTTGAGACATCTCAACAATGTGATAAGGCACTGATTATTATTATTGTACCTATTTGTTCTCTACCCAGAATTATGCATAAGGTCAGTTCCTGCACTGAACTGGCTCCCCAAGGGAAGATATCGCCAGCCTCCATTAGCTAATTTTGTTCATTGCGGCACTTATTTTTACTACAAAATTTCCCTTCTCGTATGGGGAACAGCTAAGGGAATTGGAAGTAAAATGTCAATGTGAAAAAAGCTATTCTTGGAGATTTGAGAAACACTTGAACTTTCATGTTTCTTCATAAATAATTTCGTACTTATTTAGTCTCAAATTTCTTCTCACCTCAATCCCCAAACAAAATAGTACTGTATTAGGAGTCATAATTACAAAAACAACTTGCATTTATATAGCGTCCCTCATGCAGTTTAGCAAGCCAGAGCACTTGAAGTTTTTCCACTATGATGATAATTTTCAATATATAAAAGCTGCTGGACGAAATCACATTAAACGCAGAATATTTCCGAATCAATGTTTCTCAGCTGATTTGTCTATGCTTAAGTTCTATTTCCTCTGTACTTCAGCAACAGAGATTTTCAGAAGCATTTAATTATTGCTGGGGAAGCTGCCACCACCATCTGTTATTGACACATGCAACTGTATCACTACAATTCACTTCACTTTGGTGTCCTCAACGAAACCATCTAAATGTCATAATAGTGTTCAAAATTCTTGCTCCTGATCATAAATCTGATTCAAACCAAATCAATTATACCTAAAAGCTCTACCATTCTAGCAATGCACTGGTGCAACCTTAATAGCCATCCGGATACTGTACTGTTAGGAAGACAGCACACAGCATTTGGGTTTGAGACTATTTCAATCTTTCAAAAGGAATTTTCAATGCGAAGGGATGCTATTTCATAGCTTAGTGGTTAGAGCGCTCACAAGCGAAAGGACCTGGATTTAATTCCTGGGCAGGGCAAAACGTTGGGCAAGTTTCCTTACTCCACACTCCTGTTTACCTAGCAGTAAGTTGGAATTAGGTTGTTAGTCGATTGGTGGATCCCTTTTCTGAATCTTCTGTTAGGTCCTTTGGAACTCCATCCCACAGTCCCTTTGCTTTGCTCCCCTCCGTTGCCGCCTTCAAGGTATGTCTCCAGACCCTCCTTCGACCGCACCTTCGGTCACCCTCCTACCCCTACTCTTCCTGATCCCATACCTCCACTCGAGTCCAAATCCCTGACTGTCCAGCGCCTTAGAACGCTGGATGTGAAATGTGCAATATCCGTGTAATTTGTTATTGTTGTGACTAATTTGTGTTTATGTGTATTGCCTGATGCCCTGATGGCTGGTCAAAACCTCATGTTCCATACTTGTTCACTGTTCTGTACTGCACGTGCGGCCCTTACGCATTGCAGCTGGAATGCATGATGGGTCGGCTAGTTCCCGCGATTGTCTGCCATGGAGCACTGAGCCCTGAGCTTGAATGCACGTGCGATGAAGGGTCCCCTTCACTCTCCACTCGATTGGGAGACAGTCTTTGTCTCTCTGCGCTCCCACCACCACTACCACCTCCACAGCTGCAAAACCAAAGATTCAACGACTGATGATATTGGAGAAAAAAAAACTTGAAAATGTGTGACATTTACTAAAAAGGAAAGTAGCATTTTGTAAGTTCACACAGTTCATTACTGTCTGGGGCGGATTAATAGTTTTTGGTTGAATGCTGATGTGGGAGTTGCTTGCGTCATAGCTTTTGATTCAAAACAATGTTTACCAAGGTGTTTCCTGTTGCTAATTGTTACTTTATGTAAGCATTTGTACGATACTTAGCTCGTTGGCAGTTATGTTATTACATTCAGTAGGGCTTTTTTTGAGAACAAATATCTGAATCATTGGTGAAACTTCTATAGAGTAATGGATACTGGTACTGTAGCATGTTTCGGAATGACAAATATTAATCCTTGCATTTGATACAGTGTCTTATTAAGTCGTTGACACGTTTCAAGGCACTTCGGGGTATATACTGCAAAGTGGATTGACTGTATATTTTGTGGGCGAAACATAATCCTATAACTTGATGCAAAACCTTTCCTAGAACGACTTCTGAAGGGAACTGCATCCCACAGTCCTTTTGGCTTTCCCCCCGCTCCACTCACCACCCCACTCCCCCATGCCCCCCCACTTGCCTCCTTCAAGGCACTCTCTCTCTCTTGATTCAATTTAAAAAGCTTAAGTTCTGTTTTTTGGGTGGAGGGGATGGTGCAAAATGCACTATTAACTCTGGGACCAAATAGAAAATTGAATTTCAAATGGAGACATTTTCAGGAGCTCCCCCAAAAAGCGAGCACCAGTTGAAGTAAATAATATATTGATTTAGAAGGCAGCTTAAACATATTCTATTAGTCTGGCACCCACCCAACATCTAACTTCAGTCACAAGACTACAAAATCACAGGATTCTGTAATCATACCAGTCCCATCTGACGCCATAGCACTGTTCAAATGACTAGCTGTGGACAGTTTGAAGACTTAAATCCTTCAAAGTAAGTTTGAATACCTGTACTGTCATGAGTGTGTCCCATTGTAGGCACAGTCCACTTGGCGCCAATTAAGACTATGCTTCTGTTCCACCCTGAACCACCCTTTCTGGTAACTCATTCCAGCTGTTCTAGCTCTGGGTAAAGAAATACTTCCTGGAGTCTGTCCTCAACTTGCCCTTCATAATCCCAAACCTGTGAGCTATTACACCTTAATAATAAGAAGAATCCTTGCATTTGGTAAAATGCCTTCAAGATGTCACCTTCTGAGGATATATTGTAAACAACGATAAATTACATTTGTATAGGGATTTTCACGTCGGGAGGACGTCCCAAGTGAAGTCACTGTATATTTGTGGGTGAAACATGTAATTAAAACTAAAACAATAGAACAAACTCTTTGAGACGTCTCAGCAACGTGATAAGGTGCTATATCAATTATATAGCAATTTCGCCCACAAATATACAGTCAATTCACTTTACAATCTATTCTGTGAAGCGTATTGAGACATCTAGAAGACGTATATATTATATCAAATGCAGGGATTATTATTATAATACATCTGAAAATGTTGAAGGATTGAGTATCAAAAGCATTGGTGATGTCAACACTTCATTGTGACCTCAAAAATGTGGTATATTTTCAATCTGCAGCAGTTCTGGAACCAAAGTAAACCATATTCTTAACCTCCTGACACTTCCAGATTTATGGTATAGTGTACTATTTGAGCTGTCTAGTTCAGGAAATATATATTCTGTGTAATATTGCGCAATGGAGCAACCAAAATATGTTAACCATCTTCAGAAAAGTATTTGGGCGAGATAATGAGATTGATTACTTGAGTTAACAAATTTTTATATAAATTCATAAAATGTATATGATTGATACCAGGTTGTGGAACTAAGTTCTAAAGATTGTGCATTAAACAAGATTGTGAATATTTTGTTTATATGAGATTGTGAAATAGACTTTTGAAGAGCTAACATTAGGAAAAATCTGCTATCACAATGCTCATCATTTTAACTTGTGTCGCATCTTATTTAATAACAATAATTTGATATAGCGCCTTATTGCGTCTTCTAGACATCTCAAAGTGCTTCATAGAATGTACTGTAAAGTGAATTGACTGTATATTTTGTGGGCAAAACGCAGCTTATCTGTACTTAGGGCGAAACCTTGGGCAAGTTTCCTTACTCCACACACCTAATAATAATCCCTCCAAAACCAAAAACAATAATAAATTGGTCATTTTCAATCTATGACTGTTTGTGGGACATTGCTGTGCGCAATTGGCTGCCGCGTTCGCCCACAAATATGCAGTCAATTCACTTTACAGTGTCTTCTGTGAAGCGCTTTGGGACGTCCTCCTGACGTGAAAAGCGCTATATCAAATGCAAGGATTATTATTATTATTATTATTAAAAGCGACCATTCTCACAATACAGTTAGTATGTTTTGAATTAGTATGTTTAGTACATAATGGGGAAAATTAAAGCACATTTTCCTTGTATAGTTGAATCACTCCTCCTTTATTTTGTGATATTGATCTAATCAAACGAGTCTCCTGATAACCATGCAATTAACCTGATTCATTTCAGGCTTCTCACAGTGGGACCTTAAATGGAAAAAATGAAAAAGTTTAAGCGACGTCTCTCTCTAACCTTGCGTGGCAGTCAAACAATCGATGAGTCTCTGTCTGAGCTTGCAGAGCAAATGACTATTGAAGAGAACAGCAGCAAAGATAATGGTAAGTTATTATTGTTTATTTTAACTCAAAGAAAATACAATCTGTTTCACGCTGACTGCTGTAAGATTCTGTAGACCGCAATGATTTCTGCATTGTATGCTCATGTAATTCCATTTAGAGTTTGATTTTTTTTTAAATTACTCTCTTGTACTCACATAGATTAATGGGTGCACACATGTTTATAATGTCTGTTGTGTTGTGAGCAAACTGCGGTTTGGGATTCTGCCAAGTCTGAGCATGTGTCTGATTGATTTTATCTGGATGTTGACTAGGGGAGTGTCAAACTCTCTTAAATAGATTTAATAATAATGATGAGCCTTGTATTTGATATAGCGCCTTATCACATCGTTGAGGCGTATCAAAGCGCTTCACAGAATATACCGTAAAGTGGGTGGACATGAGCAAAATATGGCAGTCAATTGCACTCATCAGTGTCCCACAACCAATCGTGAATTGAGTGACCACATTGTTTGGGGTGGGAGGAATTAGCAATCTGCCGATTGACTAACAACTGGGTTCCTCCTTACTGCTAGGTAAACATTACTCTCCGGGACTCCGAATCTATCTCAAAGGAAACTAAGATTCCCCAAATGGCATCTCTCATTCCCCCCCGCCCCCACCTCCCATATTACTTGCATTATTTTAATTAAGAAGGGAATGATATGTTTTGTAGAACTTTTTGTAAATAAACCTAGGTGTAGGGCCAAGGACCGCAATACAGAAAGGCACCAAAGTTCAAAAACAGAATGTGGGATGAGAGAAATGTAGTGGTTAGGTTTTGTGGTTTCTCCTGAACAGAATGAATGGTCTGTTGTCTACTGTTCTGTTGTACTCCACTTGAGCCTCCACCCCTACTAATCCCCTCTCCTATACCCCTCTATTCATAGGTACATAGGAATAGGAGTAGGCCATTCAACCCCTCAAGCCTGTTGCGCCATTTTATTAGATCATGGCTGATCTGTACCTTAACTCCAATTACCCACCTATGCCTCATATTCCTTTCTCCCTCATGTATAGATCACATTTCCTCTTAAATACATTGATTATGCAAATCTTTTATTCTGAGGCATTCCTGTTCTATCAACTGTTAGAGACTAACCAATATCACTCTTGATTTCTAGTATTTGATTAGCTTTGAGGATAGTATATTTGCATTGTCTAGAGACATTCAGGAAATAATCAATGATTGTAACCAAAGCCTTTTCCTCATCTTCTTATGCTAATTGGCACCCTTTTCATTTTATACATCTGTTAATTCTTATATACATTACCTTGCATTTAAGTGCTGTTTAATTGGTCTAGATCTTCTTGAATGCTATTTCCCTCTTATCATATTCACCTGACACAGAGCTTGATAACTTACTTTTCAATTAGTTTTTAAGACCAGAATTTGCTGTGAATTATTGTATAATCGAATACATTTCATTTGAAACCTCTTGCCAGAAAGAAGCCTTCAATTTTCTTTATTGTTGTTGAATGTGATGGTGGATTGAAAGCACAGTGCTATTCAATACATCCACTTCCTCACAATTTACTTTGACATTTAACCTGCTAAATAATCAAGAATCCATCTGGTTAGGAAACAAATGTTTTAAGGGTTAATTATATCATCATTCCATTTGAATTGCTGGCTAAATGAATAGGCTCAAAGCCTAGTCTGAAGCTGGGACCCATGGTAGCTATTACATTAGACAAGTAACGCTGCTCTAATTATGGGCTTTGCAACTATAGCAGATGGCATGAAATGAGGGGGCAATTTAACATAACTCAATGTGTTAGCAAGTTAATTGCAGTAATCTAGTGTTCTGCATTTGTTGGATCACTAGAATAATATCAACTATATTTCATGTTATATAAAGGTCAGATTCAGATACCCGCAGGACACCCGTCACATGGATCAAAAGAGGATCTCTTTGTCGTAGATCACTCAGTAAATACTTATTAGAAAGAGAGTTACAATTTAATAGGAAAAACTTGAATGTGGAGGAGTTTAAACTGAAATTGGATGGCACAATGCTTTTCAGGTTGGGTGCTAGTTTGTAACCATCTTGAGCTGATAGAATGAAACTAATCTGTCAACTGTCGTGGAGTGCTGTAGGGTAGTGGTTAGAGCACTCGCCTCACAAACGAGTGGACCTGGGTTTGATTCCCGGGCAGGGAGAAACGTTAGGCAAGTTTCCTTACTCCACACACCTCTGTTTACTGAGCAGTAAATAGGAACCAGATTGTTAGTCGATTGGTGGATTGCTTTTCCAGGAATAATAATTTGGTCACTCAATCCACGACTGTTTGTGGGACACTGTTGTGTGCAATTGGCTGCCGCGTTTCGCCCACAAAATGCACAGTCAATTCACTTTACAGTATATTCTGTGAAGTGCTTTGAGACATCTCAAAGAAATGATAAGGCGCTATAACAAATGTAAGGATTATTATTATCTGGCTATATATTGTACACTTTACAGTAAAATCCTGTGAAGCACTTTGAGATAATTTGACGATATGATAACATATCTTTGTCTGATGTATCAAAAGTAAGTATTATTATAATTCTGCCTTACTCCATTTTCCTGTCCTTGACACTAGGATTATTTGACTTGCATGGTTATTACAAATATCAGATGTGTAAGTGTGACTATTGCAGCTTTCTCTTCAAAACTAGAATGCTGAATACTTTATTTTCTCCATTTTGGTCCATTGTGCGGCTAAGCCCAAAGCTTGGGATTCCTGTTGAATATGCAGACCCAGAAAGGATTTTTGTCACTTACAACAAAACATTGCAATCCAACCATAGAAATGTACAGTCCAGAAGTAGGCCATTTGGCCTATTGTGTCGAGACTAGCACTTTGAAAGAACAGTCCATTCAGTCCCATGTATTTTCCCGCTATACCCCTGCAAATGTTCCTTTTAAAATTTCTATCTGGTTAACTCTTAAATGTCACTATGTATTCTACGTTAACCACAGCACTTTCAATCTCCCACTGAACCCAGCAGCTCTTTTGAATACTCATCAAAACTGAACGCATCGTCTGTATGGAATATAGAATCTATATAGACTCAAAGATGTGGATCAGATGGACTTCAAATTACTCCTTGAATTAGTGTCAAGAATTCAAATTGAGCTGTGTACCTTCATCCGATTTTCACCAGATTGTTAATCACTACCACATCATCACTCACAGTCAATACTGAAACTCCAGATATATTATAATAATATTGATAATAATCCTTGCATTTGATATAGCGCCTTTTCACATTGTCGAGACAACAATTTGCACTTGTATAGCGCCCTCCACGCAGGGTTGTGTCTCTGAGCGCTTCGCAGAATATGTTGTGAAATGCTTTGACTGTATATTTTGTGGATAAAATGCAGCAGCCAATTACCCACAACAGTTTCCCACAAGTTAAAATAAAATGAAATTAGAGAAGGGTAGTCAAGCTTGAATTAATGCTGGAATTCAAAATACACCTCTTCTCTTCTATATGAGGAAAGAAAATAAAAGCAAAGTGTTTCTTTTTGAGGGAACATTGGCTTAAATTGCTATTCTACACCTCTTAATTGAGCGTTAACAAAATGTTTTTAGTATGGATCTAGGAACAATATAAAGGAACATAAGAAGGGAAAAAAGAATAAATTAAATAAGGAATGGGGGAAGGGGAAATAAAACTAAATGGCTCATCTTAATATTCTGAAGTATTGATCTTGTAAAGTTGCTTTTTTTCACATATTCCATTTCTTGTTAAGCTAAATATCCCAAATGGTATCCCTTAAGCGTCTGTACACTCAGAACTCAGAACATTCTCTTATTTTGACATTTAAAATCCTCCCTTGAAGTGTCTTTAGATCTTTTGTTCCTACTGTTAGGATCTATTGCAATGACACACTGTGCTTGCCATAGGGGAGAAATAAATTCCTCCAAATTTTCTGCTTTGCACAGTATTTCTACCCTTTACGCTAGGTTCTATCTTCAAGTGTAGTGCTAGCTGCAGAAAAGCTTTCATTTTTATCCAAAGTCACACTGATGTCTTTTAGACTTTCAAAATTGTGATTTCAAGTCTTAAGTTTCTGTCATTGTAATTATGAAAAAAAAGGATTTAGCCCCAATCAAAAAGAAACTATATAGTAGATTCAGGCCTGAAAACTTGATACAAGGAATATGGTAAAAGAACCTAGACCCTATTATGGAGTCCTGTAGCTTAGTGGTTGGAGCACTCGCCTCGCAAGCGAGAGGACCTGGGTTTGATTCCCGGGTGGGGCGAAATGTTAGGTAAGTTTCCTTATTCCACACCCCTCTGTTTGCCTAGCACTAAGTAGTTTGGCGGTTGTTAGTCGATTGATGGATTGTTACCCTCGGATCACTTTTCTGGGGGTAATAATCACTTCAAAATTAAATAAATAAATAGTAATAATAATTTGGTCGCTTGGTCCACAACTGTTTATAGGACACTGCTGTGTGCAGTTGGCTGCTGGGTTTCACCCACAAAATGTACACTCAATCCACTTTACAGTGCATCTTGTCGTCATGTATGTTCTGTGTAGTAGAGTGGCAGCATTAGGACAAATATAAGAAGAAATGTTGATCTAGAACTGTCCTTTTCTCAACAACTACCAGTAACCAATTTAAATATTTTAGAAAAATTGAATACTGTTTAACATGTGGAGCCCTATAGCTCAGTGGTTAAAGTACTCGCCTCACAAGCAAAAGACTTGGGTTTGATTCCCAGCAGGGCGAAACCTTGAGCAAGTTTCCTTTCTCCACTGATAATAATCCCTCAAGAAAAAAAATAATAAATTGGTCACTCAATCTACGACTGTGGGACACTGCTGTGCACAATTGGCTGCCGTGTTTCGCCCACAAATATATAGTCAATTCACTTTACAGTATATTTTGTGAAGTGCTTTGAGATGTCTAGAAGATGTGAAAAGCGCTATATCAAATGCAAGGATTATTATTATTATTAAAGTGCTATATCAAATGCAAGGATTATTATTATTATTAACATTTGGATTAAAACTGCAACTGTTTGCAATATCACTTCATAATATAGTGAAACTTGCACAAGTCTTATCTTCATAAATGGTATAATCGCCTAAGTCATATATGAGTCCCATTCAGTTTCCTATCACTGTTCATATTAAGCATTCCCTAACTCGTAACGTGGCTCCCCTACCCTCCATTACTACTGCACTTTACTGGCTGTATTGATTCGCAGGAAATGTAGTCTTGATCCTTCAATGCATGTGCAGAAGAACTTAATTTCCCGCGATTCATTGCGATTCCAACGCTTGCAGGTATGTTCACATGCAGCGACTGGTCAAGATGCATTAAATCGCGGGAAACTCAGTCTTGACCTGTCATCGCATGTGCACTTACCAGCTGCATTGAATTACACATCCACAGTGTAGATTATTGATTAAATCAGATATTATACGATGTATACAGTTTGACTGCAACTCTGACTTTGCGTAACTTAAGTGTTATGGTCCTGACTGATATGACTTGTGTGAGTTTTACTGTATATTGTAAACAAGATAGTATAGAACTTTGATGATTAAAATCAACTGATGCCTGTAATTCCCTCTGTTTCATGTACTGATCACTTATGACATTTGCGCAGTCCTTTAAGGCAACGTGTTTCCTTACTGTAAATGCAAGAGTTGTAGATTGATATACTCATGGTCTATGTTTTGCGGTGAAGTAGAACTTCTCCATTGAAGTATTGAATATGCTAATGTTATCCTGAAACGCATTACCTGTCAGAAACCAAACAGTATTTTATGTTGTTTTTTTTTTCTTTCTCTCTTCCAACCAACCATCCATCTATCCACTCTACCTCTCCTTCTGATCTATTTCTGCTTTACGGACTGCCTCGTTGGAACAAACCGTTGGCTTTTACAAATCACAGAGCCCATTGTGAAGAACGGCAGGCCTCCAACATCGCACAGTATGCACTCCTTTCTCCACCAGTATGCAGGCTCTTTCAAAAAGCCCCCACTGCGGAGACCCCACAGTGTGATTGGTGGGAGTCTCACCTCCTTCATTGCCATGCCTAGGAATGGGAGTAGACTAGGTGAATACCAGAACAATTCTTTACCAAGAGCTTGTCTGTCTTGTTCTGTTGGAGTGAGTCGCTTGATGCTCTTTTGGCGATGACGTTTGATGTCCTAACTTACTACCCTCTTTCGCATTTAAAAATGTTTGCATTCTTATCAAGAGGTTTTTTTGCATGTCTTGTTTTTATTATCTAATCAGTCTAATATCCAATGTTTCAGGTAAGTGATGGAAAGTGAACATGTTAGAAACATTTTAATGCATTAACAGTGTAAAGCAATGGTAGCTAACCTTCACCCCAACATTTATGGCCACTTCTTGACGGTCCAAGGGCCACAGGTTGGTCATCACTGGTATAAAGCCTCCTCAGTAATATTGTGTGTGCTCTAACTCTTCTCTGAAAACACTTACTGAATATAGTTACAGTTAACAATGTTGCTATTTAATTCTTGACATCCTCCACATAACACAGGATTGATGGCTGCATTAGGGCTAAAACATTGGGAAATCTACCCAAAAGGACCGTTTCCCTTTGACTAGAACATCAATAATCCCTCCAAAAAAATAATAAATTGGTCATTTTCAATCCACGAATGTCTGCGGGACATTGCTGTGCGCAATTGGCTGCTGCGTTCGCCCACAAATATACAGTCAATTCACTTTACAGTATATTCTGTGAAGCGCTTTGGGACGTCGAGAAGATTCAAAAAGCTCTATATCAAATGCAAGGATTATTATTATCAAGGGGTGAAACGTTGTAGTTTACAAGAAAGCTCTACAATGTGGAAATCCAACTTCAAACCCACCATGAAATTTCAGTCCTCAGAAGACTTTCCTTCCTCTCACCTAGCTCCCAGATTCCTGCGTTATCTATACAATGTATATAGGCAGAGCTCTCTTCAGTTCATAGTTTGGTAGAGAAAAGTTGTAGACACAATACTGTATTGGGTCCTTATGAAATTAAACTTCTGTTCTAATGTCTACGATTGTCTCCCAAACTGGCATTCACACTAGTTTAACTGTTGCGAGTTCATGGGCAAATGTACAGAATGAATACCTATAGAGAGGCCTGTTGTGTATTCATCGTATGGGAAATGTGTGCTTACTAGATTGGATGTTAAGAGCCAAAATAGTCTTCCAGGGAATAATCTCCAGTAGTTCAGATCATTTGCCAAATTTAATCCTGTAATATGTGAAGGATGGCTTTGATTTGAAGAATGCTGACGATCTACAGGTAAGTAATTTATTTTTGACAAACCTTGTGGTTGTATGCAGATTTAGCATGAGTGGTAAATGTTTTGTTTTACTGTTTTTTGGTAATATTTTGCTGTATTAGTTTAGGACTGTGGTTACTCCAAGATGCATAATTTTAAAGTTATTTCATATCTTATTGCATGTATATCTTAACATTAACCATAATATGTTAGTAAAACAGCACATGTTGTTTGTTTTTTGGAAGAAAGGCAATAATAATCTGCCAAAACAAAATTTGCAGTTTGCAAACGTTCTGAGACAGAGGGAGGTATTGTAGCTTGTTATTACTGTGTCATCCTTTATTAACTGATATTATGTCTGGAAATATTTGAAGCAAATTATTAAATTGATATTGATTATTGACTTTTAGTCCAAGCAATTGTACTGCTATTTCTAATAACATCTTAAAGTACTGATGCAGTGAAATCATTTAGACCTCAAGGAGATTTTCATTTTGCCTCCGAAATGTGTAGTAATAGTTAGTTAAATTAGCTTTGGGTGTGATTTGTCCTAGATGAAGTCCGAGGTAAACTCTCCCATTGATTCAGAATGGGGATAAGAATGCATCCTAAAATCAAATCCAAAGCAAATGCATCTGAGGGCCAAGAAAATGGAGCTAATTTTACTTTGTACCTTTCCTGTTCAGATATAGTGCATGAAAATTTGAAAATTGGCTCAGATGGGGAAAGTGATCAAGCCTCTGGGACATCTTCTGATGAAGTACAGTCACCTACTCATGTCCGTATGAGAAACCACCTGCACAGAAGGATCTCCATGGAGGTGAGGTTCTGGTTGACAAGTCATCATGTGTGAATATGGTTTCAATCTCTTACAAGTTTCCAATCAAGGAGGAGGACTTTATTGGTGCTAACTTTCCACCTTGGAGCTAAAACTCTTCTAATAATAATCCAAAAAAAAAAAAATAAAGTCATTTATTACGGTTTTGGGACATAGTCCTTTGGGTCGCCATATCATCATATTACATGTTCTGTGGGACTCCTAGTAAGCCTAAAAAAAAAAAAATAAAAAACGGTCATGTGGTCAGTATAACTTAATGCTGGGTGGGGGAGAGGAGAAAGAACAGCAGTACTGTAAACTCAAATTAAAACCATCCAACGTGCATCTTGCCTCTTCAACATGTTTGAATTCTATTTCCAGTGCTTTTTGTGTTTTATGATTCTCCGTATATAAAAGATATCAGCCACTGTCAGCATTTCCACTTGGCTTGTGATTTTCATTCCGCAGCAGGCAGAGTCTATGCAGCATTAGAAGATTTATCCACAATAATGCACAAAAGTTATTTCTGTTCAAGATGTTTTCCTACTGTGTTGTGCAGTGAAGAGCATCGTGAAAATGGGTAATGTTTGAAAGGATGGCACAGTTTATTACTTGTGTTTTATTTATCAGGATGTCAACAAGCGCCTGTCATTGCCTGCAGACATTCGATTACCTGATGGCTACTTGGAGAAACTGCAATTGAGCAGCCCACCCTTCGACCAGCCAATGAGCAGAAGATCTCGCAGAGCTTCCCTGGTAAACCTTTGTTGTTTGCTAATTAGTTTGTTTTGGTTGTATCATCAAATGTTGTACATTTTGTTCATTGTTCCCTATCCTCCAAACTTTAGTGTATTCTGTGAAACACTTTGAGATGTCTGAAAGACATGATAAGGCATTATATCAAATGCCAGGATTATTGTTATTAAAATTAAGGAGGATAAACAGAATTGAATGTTTCAAACTTGTTTTCCATTTATTGAAAACAAAAGTGACTTTAAATGGCATATACATGGCTTTAGATACATAAGAAAATTCACTACATCCTCACGACATGAAAGGTGCTATACAAATGTAATTTTGTATTGTATATCGATTGCATAAATATTAATCTTTTTGGATATATTGTCTTTTTGGATTTTTTTTGTCTAGTCGGAGATTGGATTTGGAAAACTAGAAACGTATGTTAAATTGGACAAACTGGGGGAGGTGAGTTACACTAATGCCTTTCAGCAGGTTTAGTTTCTGAAGTTGTTAAGGTAAACGGGACATAATCAAAATAATTGACAGAATCTTATGCCCAGTGTTGTGAACTCAGAAATTGCCTGAAGAAAACTGAACTCCATTTTGTTTTAGCTGATTTGCCAGATGGGTGGTAACATTGTGCCTCTCTTACCCCTTGGAGGCTAATTTGATTAGGTACAGATTTCTCTTTTTTTTAAAAAAAAGAATTCCACATAGGATGCATTGTTCAAAGTACTTGATTGCAATTATATTTTGAACCCGGTACTTGGATCCCCAGAGGGATGTATTATCCATTTTTACTGGGATATTTGCCCACAATGAAGTAAGCCTGCATCAGAACAAAGACAAAAATGCAACCATTCATTTTTTTAAATAAATTTCTGCAGGTGGACTTGACATGTATTGCTTAGAATATTGAGCATAGGCTTTTTCAGTTAAAGTATTGTGAATGTTAAGTACATACTCCTGGGTGTGTTATGTATAGTCTTCACCAGAAAAGTTGCAGTGAAAGTGTGGCCTCTTCCACCCTTTCTGGTAACTTGTACCAACTGTTCACATATGAAAGCTGATTACCTTCTGTCAGTCCTAGAATTGTCCTTCCCAACTCTGTATTGGTGTCCTTTTGCCTACTGTGGAGTCCTGTAGCTCAGTGGTTAGAGCACTCGCTTTGCAAGTGAGAGACCTGAGTTCAATCCCCGGCAGGTCAGGGCCAAACCTTGGGCAAGTTTCCTTACTCCACACAGAGCCTAATAATAATCCCTCCAAAACAATAATAAATTGATCATTTTCAATCCATGACTGTTTGTGGGACACACTGTACGCAATTGGCTGCCGCGTTCGCCCACAAATATACAGTCAATTCACTTTACAGTATATTCTGTGAAGTGCTTTGGGACATCTAGAAGACGTGAAAAGCGCTATATCAAATGCAAGGATTATTATTATTATTACATGTACCAAATATATTGTTATGGGTTTACTTTCTCAATTCCATTTAACATCTTATATACTTGGGGTTGGAAAGACATCTGAGAAATTCAGGATGTAAATCATTACAAGCACATGTTTTCTTGACACTTTAGTTTTTCTAAATCTGCCTTAGGCTTTCTTGTTCAGCCTTCAACAACTCTGCCCCCATCCTCTGGAACTCTATTCCACAGGCCCTTTGCCTCGTTTCCTCCCTTGCCTTCTTCAAGACACGTCTGAAGATAATCGTGCTTTGGCCACCCTCCTACCCTTGCCCCCTTGCCCTCCACCCCTCCTGATCCCAATCCCCAGCTCGTGTCCAAATTCCTGACTATTCAATGCTTTGGGACGTCCTCCTGATGTGAAAGGTGCAATGTAAATGTAATTTGTTCTTATATTGCCTTTACGTTTGCATTCATGTTTTGTATGGATTGTTCACAGGGCACCTATGCAACAGTATTTAAGGGAAGAAGTAAACTGACAGATAATCTAGTAGCACTGAAAGAAATCAGGCTGGAACATGAAGAGGGAGCACCTTGCACAGCGATACGGGAAGGTAAAATAGATCCACTGTTTCAATTGCACAGTTTACTGTGTACCTTTCTTCTCCAGCAAAATGTTTGGTATTTTCACATACCTTAATATAACAACAACTTGGATTTATATAGTGCCCTCCAGGTCGGATGGTGTCTCGGAGCGCTTTATAGTAACAGATCCTGGGGCCAAGCCAGGGGGAGGGGGAGGGGCCAGGGAGGGAGATGGGGGAGGAAGGTGACCAAAGGTGCGGTCGAAAAAAAAGGTCTTCAGCCGAGACCTGAGAATAGGAAGAGAGGGGACGAGGGGAAGGGAGTGAGGAAGGCAGTTCCAGAGCCTCGGGGCACAGGGGCTGAAGGCACAGCCACCGAGGGGGGAGCGGAGGACTCGGGGGACGAGGAGGAGGTCAGACCCGGGGGAACGAAGGCAACGGGTACTGTGCTGAGGAGAGAGGAGGTCAGAGAGGTCGGGGAGTGCAGAGGAGTGCAGGGACTTGAATACGAGGTGAGGATCTTGAAATGGATCCTCTCTGGGACAGGAGTCAGTGCAGTCTGACCAGGACTGGGGGGATCGGGGTTTGGGGGTGGGGGGAGGGCCAGGACTGGGGGGAGCGGGGTTTGGGGGTGGGGGGGAGGGCCAGGACTGGGAGGATCGGGGTTTGGGGGTGGGGGGAGGGCCAGGACTGGGGGGATCGGGGAGCGGGGTTTGGGGGTGGGGGGGAGGGCCAGGACTGGGGGGATCGGGGAGCGGAGTTTGGGGGTGGGGGGGAGGGCCAGGACTGGGGGGGATCGGGGAGCGGGGTTTGGGGGTCTGGGGGAGGGCCAGGACTGGGGGGATCGGGGAGCGGAGTTTGGGGGTGGGGGGAGGGCCAGGACTGGGGGGATCGGGGAGCGGGGTTTGGTGCGGGTGAGAATGCGGGCGGCAGAGTTCTGGATGATGTGGGCTGTATGGATGGTAGTGGAGGGGAGACCGGTGAGGAGGGCGTTAGAGTAGTGCAGCCGAGAGGTGACAAAGGCCTGGACCAGAGTTTCAGCGGCTTTTGGGGAGAGGTATTTGCGGAGACGGGCAATACGTCGGAGGTGGTAGAAGGCGGTGCTGGTGAGGGACCGGATGTGGGGGATGAAGGATAATTGGGGGTCAAACCTGACGCCAAGGTTGCGTACAATAGAATCTTACAGCACAGAAGGAGGCCATTCAGCCCATTGTGCCTGTGCCGACTCTTTGAAGGAGCCACCAGCTACTCCAATCCCCCGCTCTTACCCCACAGCCCTGCAAATTATTCATTTTTAAGTACCTATCCAATTCCCTTTTGAAAGCTATTATCGAATCTGCTTCCACCAACCTTTTAGGCCGTACATTCCAGACTTTTGCCTCGCTTCCTCCCTGGGTAACAACTCTGGGTTTAAAAAAAAATTCTCCTGGTCTCCCCTCTGGTTCTTTTGGCAATTATCTTAAATCTGTGCCCTCTGGTTACTGACCACACGCAATCTATTAAAACCGCTCATAATTTTGAACATATGAAGGCAGATTTATTTTGAACCGATGTACTGCTAAGGACCACCTGAAGGAAACTGATTAAATGCATCAAAGTTCTATTTACTGTACAGTACAGGAAATATTTATCTTCATGTAATCATTTTAATGAAAACCCATTGATTGATTGGATCTTTTTGTGTCTATAGTGTCATTACTGAAGGATCTGAAGCACGCAAACATAGTCACTTTACACGATATTATTCATACAGAAAAGTCATTGACACTAGTCTTTGAATACCTGGTAAGGTTTTTTATTTCTGAATACAATTAGTCTTGATTGTATAAATCTATCAACATCATAAAAAATGTGTGGCGTAATAAGGTATTTAATCAGCTGTTTTGTCTTTTAATTAGATTCTCACTATAACTGTTATATACCCACAGGACAAAGACCTGAAACAGTATATGGATGATTGTGGGAACATAATGAGCATGCACAATGTGAAGGTGAGAGTGGTGTTATCACAAATGAGTGATGTCCAAATAATGATGGTACGAAATATGTTTAATATTAAAAAAATGGAAATTATGTCAGAGGCAAGTAAGAACTGACTGGATACTAGTTATCTATTTTATTAGTATAATATTTTCAAGCAGCTAAGATGTGTATGGGACTATATGAAATGGCAAATTGCCTGTGATCTTTTGTGTCCAAATATCCCTGATTCTAAGACTTTATACAGAGGGTTTGTCAGGAGGAGGTATCTAAGCTGATCACTGGCAGATGAAGTTCAATAGGAAATCTCACAACCTACATAGGTAGTAAGAATAGGAGGGACAGAGGCTGATCAGGAGTTTGGGAGGAACATCAATAGCATGTCAAACTTGTCATTGTGAAAAATCGCATGCTAAACAGGTCCTATTGAATTAACAAAAGGCAAAATACTGCAGATGCTGTAATACAAATCTGAAATAAAAACAGAAGTGGCTGGGAACACTCAGCAGGTCAGGCAGTGTTTAGAGAGAGGGGAAAGTGAGTTAACATTTCTGACGAAAGGACATCAACCTGAAACTTTAACTCACGTTCCTCTCTCCGTAGATGCTGCCTGACCTGCTGAGCGTTCCCAACGACTTCTGTTTTTATTTCCTAATGAATTGACTTGTTTTGCTTTGTTGTTTAGATATTTTTATACCAGATTTTACGGGGCTTAGCCTACTGTCACAGGCGGAAAGTGTTGCATCGAGATCTGAAACCGCAGAATCTGCTGATCAATGAAAGAGGAGAACTCAAGCTAGCTGATTTTGGTATGCAGCATAAATCCATAAAGCTTGCGGTGTAACAGTGGGAAGGTTCTATTATGTACTAATTTATTGGGATAATAAGTTACCATTATCTAATTATTTTGCCTATTACTTTTTACGTGTAGTTTTTAACTCTTCCTTTTTCATCAACAACAATTTAATTAACAACAAGCAGCTCATGACATTTACACAGCATCTTACACATCGGGAGAACTTCCCAAGGCGCTGGACCCTCAGGGATTTGGACCCGAGTTGGGGGTTGGGATCAGGTAGGGTGGAGGGTGGGAGTAGGAGGTTGGCCTAGTTGAAGAGGAGGGTATTGAGACTTGCCTTGAAGGAGGCAGTGGGGAGGAGGGAGCAAAGGGAAGGGACTGGAAAGAAGTTTCAGAGGGTAGGGACAAAGAAGCTGAAAGCCTGACTGCCAATGGTGGGATGGGACGGGCAGGGCTGGGGACACGGAGCAGCCCGGAGCAATGGAAGAACATTTTCATCGCCGTTTACCATTGTTGTCAAGTTTCTAGTTTACAATTTAAATTTCATTTTTCGATCCCTTGATGAATAAATTAGAAAGTTGCAACTGTATCCTATTTCACTTTATTACAATTTTATTTTAGAGCATATTTTAATTTTTAACATTCGATTACTCCTTGTGTCAAGTATTTAAGATGGTGCTCTTTACAGGTTTGGCAAGAGCCAAGTCAGTCCCTACAAAGACGTACTCAAATGAAGTTGTAACATTGTGGTACAGACCTCCTGACGTACTCTTGGGTTCTTCAGAATATTCCACACCGATTGACATGTGGTACGTCCAACTGGTTTATTTTAGTCTATTAAAGGAGATATCAATTTGTGTTATTTAAATTAAGTTCAATTTGATTGAATTAATTGATTCTTTTTATATCTTTGAAAAATAACTGCCTCTCATGGTGAGTAGTTAACCATTTTTATCAGTTTTTTTTCCTTTGGAATATTCTACTGGCAATTCACTAAAAGTTTTGGAGAGGTGTGTGTGTGTGTATAAATATATACATATATATATAATTTCTATATCCAGCATAGGAAATATAGCCTTACATGCTAAACATGCTAAATCTCCCTTGAACAACTTAAGAACATAAGAATTTGCTGGCAAATTCATAACAAATGATTTATGATTTTTATTGGGGGTGAGGTGTTGTGGGGAGAAGGAGTTGTCCTCACAACTCCTAGTTGGCGATTAGAGAGAGGAACAGCAAGAGACAGCAAGGAGACCAAATCAGGACAACAGTAATAATACTCACTGTAGTCAAAACAGTGCTAATTACAATTAAGAACATAAAAATTTGCTGGCAAAAGAAAACCAAGGTCTATCTAGTTTGCCTTCCACCATCCTGGCCGTCGCTTGACATGGTGTCCCAAACTATACACTGTATCCCCAGATATTATTTTCTAACAGAAATCTATCTAATTTGTTCTCGAAACAAACACATTCTGCTTCCACCATCTGTCTCCCTAGGGAGCCTGTTGCATAAGTTTATTAGTAGCTCACTGAAGTAGTGTTTCTGCAGATTTGTTCTGAATTTAATAAGAATAACGTTTAGGTTTTACCCATTTCAGGGGTGTTGGATGTATCTTCTATGAAATGGCAGCCGGGCGGCCCCTCTTTCCTGGCTCAACTGTAGAGGATGAATTGCACTTAATTTTCAGGCTATTGGGTAAGTCTTTGAATTCCGTGGTTTATGTTTATGGAATATCGAGCATGCAAAATAAACCTGATGAATTATAATGATTATATGAATTAGTTTAGTTAAACAATGTTTGTATATCATTGGTTTGGATTATCAATTTGGTTTCTTAATTACAATTCACCATTTTGACATCGCTCTCCTAAAATCCACTCTCTGCCTCCTTCCCTCAGCTAGTTTCAAATCAGTGTGTTAACCTCAATATTCAGTGACATCAGTTTATGAAGGAGTTCTTTTGGGGTGTTTTGACTTGACCCACGTTCCATGTATTTATCTCCGTTTGTTCCTAACCCTAATCTGGCAGTGGGATATTGCCATGTGTTTAATAAACTCATTTTGCCTACATTATTTCTGACACACTGGTTCTGAGGAGTAAGAAAAGGAACAAAACTCGATGCATTCAATAGCACTGCATGAATTGAGATTCAGAATTGAAAAGAAATAGAATGCAAATAGAGTGATAAACATAGAAACCTGACCCCTCTGCCTGGCCCCTTCCTTCCCCATCTTCAGGTCTCGCCTGAAGACCTTCCTCTTTGACCATGCCTACGGTCACCTCCCCCTCTCCCTGGCTCGGAGTCATGCTCTGCCACAGTTAAGCTCTCTGGGACTCTGTGTGAGGGGCTCTGTATAAATGCAGGTATAAGACGAGGAAAATTAATGGCTTTGCTTCCATTATCATGTTGTGCCCAAAAGTATAGCAGGTTTCAGACCCCTTCTTAGAGCTTAATCCTGAATACCCTCAGCCAAAGGAAATGGTTAAGATATTCGTTCATCAAACCTGTAAGTCTGAAACTTCCTAATCACATTTAGTCAAACGTCCTTCTGTGCTGAAAAATACTGATTAATCTTGAAAAGATAATTTTGCAATCTTTTATTCAAAAAATCAAAGCAATACTTACACATCTTGTTTTTTGCTTTTGTAACATCTTAAGTACATTGATATCTTCACTTTGATTAGGTAAGAAGAATTTCACAAGGAACTCAGGTCTGAACAATACTTTATAAGGCAACAAAATGTAATATATTTTGATTATTACTCTGCTTGCTAATGTAATCCAATATCCATTATTTTTCCTTTTTGAGCTAATTTTTTACCCAGAGGGTTGTTGCGGTCTGGAATGCACTGCCTAACAGGGTGGTGGAAGCAGATTCACTAATAGCTTTCAAAAGAGAATAGGATAGGTACTTGAAAAGGAAAAATGGTCTCCTGTGCTGTAAAAGTCAGATTCTATAATTATTAGTTCATGATTTTATTTTCAGAATAAGCATTTGAATCTCACTCACAGATGAACTGTATTTACCACAGGCACACCCACAGAGGAGACATGGCCGGGAATAATTTCAAATGATGAATTCAAGACTTATAACTTTCCTAACTACAAGCCCCAACCTGTGATCAATCATGCACCAAGGTATTGTCATTTGAGCTTTGGTCTGTATTAAGTACATGTTGGTAGAATAGGTATTATAAATGGTTTATAAATTACATTGATGTAAAACAGCAATAGTTAGTCTCATGTTGATTAACCTACAAAAGAACTGGATCTATATAACTGAACATAGAGTGGAAGGGATAACATTCGCAGCGTGTTAGGATATTAGAGGTCTTATTTGTAGTTGATTTTCTTCCAGAATGGTAAATGTTTTTGTTGGAGTCAAATTGTACATGGTGAGCGGATGAAATGGGATTCCATACACTTCAGTTTCATAGCACTTTCCCGTAATTCTAGCTGCTGGAGGGCTGTGTGAAGATAAACAACTAAAATGGATGAAAATAATTGCACTAAAATGGATGAAAATATTACGCAATTGGCTGGCGGTTTCGTCCACAACAGTATATTCTGTGAAGTGTTTTGAGACGTCTCGAAGACATGATAAGGCGCTATATCAAATGCAAGGATTGTTATTATTATTGTAGCTTCTTCAAATGGACTTTTACTTTTTTTATAGGTTGGACATGGAGGGAATTGATCTGTTGTCCAACTTTTTACAAGTGAGTTTAAATTTTATTATATAACAAAATACTGATTACTGTTTCAGGAAGCACTGACTAAAGTCATTTTATGTTTTTTAATCACTGGTTTGTTTTGCCCTTTTTCAGTACCAGGCAAAGAAGAGAATTTCTGCAGACGATGCCATGAAACATTTCTACTTCAAAAGCCTTGGAGCAAGGATACACACTGTACCAGATGGTAAATCAATTTAGTCTCAGTTTGATAAGAAGCCATATTTATTTAAAAGCTCTGGATTGTGGAGTCCTGTAGCTTAGTGGTTAGAGCACTCATCTCGCAAGCGAGAGAACCTGTGTTGGATCTTGGGCAGGGCGAAACCTTAGGCAAGTTTCCTTACTCCACACTCCTTTGCTTACCTAGCATTATTCAGGAACCCGGTTGTTAGTCGATTGGCAGATCGTTTTTCCAGGCGTAATAATCCCTTCTGCATAAATAAATAATAATAATGTGGTCGCTCAATCCATAACTGTTTGTGGGAACTGCTGTGCGCAATTGGCTGCTGCGTTTTGCCCACAAACCATATAGTCAATTCTTTACATTATATTCTGTGAAGTACTTGGAAACGTCTCGACAACGTGATAAGGCGCTATATCAAATGCAAGAATTATTATTATATTCCAATACAGCAGCTGTTAACTATTAACTGGTTTCTGTTTCTTTCCTTTTGAATCAGGTGCCTCAATTTTCTCTATAAATGAAATTCAGTTACAAAAGGATCCTGGCTACAGAAACTCCTCGTACCCAGATACAGGTAGAACTCCCTGTTCATGTATCTAAAGTTACACATGAATAAAAGTCCCTCCCATCTCTGACTTAGACTTCTTTCTACTAGTATCATTCTGTAACCAGCAATCAAGCTGAGTCAGCTCGTCATTACTTTATTTATTTTCAATACCACTTCTCCATCCCTACCCCATCCCTCCACCACTATCAGCCCCTCCACAAAGGACTCTAGTTGAGTGTTTCAGTATTACCGTATATGGGAATCTGGGGTGCTTTACCAAGTCCTGTCCAGCAGTGTATCAGCTTAAACAGACAAATTCTAGTTCTGAAACGATTTGAAAATGTTTTGCTTCTATCCATCAAGCTGTATCTCTATAAAAAGTAAGCATATTGATTTTTTTTCAGTAAGCTTATAATGAGCACAGCAGAATTTATTTTTTAAGTTTCATATCCAAATATTCTCCCATACTTTCTTTCCTCTTCACCCTTAGACTGCCATCAGGTCTCTGTGGATCAATCCATTCTGTACATTCTTTCTCGCCTCTCGTTCTCTTACAAGTGCTTCAGACTGACTCCAGCAAAAGCAGATACATTCTGTCAGCTCACCCTCAGTATTTCTTTCATTCAAGTTTGTTCTTCTAATACCATAAAGCTTACCGTAAAACTCATTAATGGAAAACGTATATTGAAGGGTATGGAGAAAAAGCAAGGGAATATAATTAGAGCAGATGGCTTCATTGAGCGGCTCACAATCAGTTCTTGTGTCACAAACCATCTATGTTTAAGATCATTTAGGTCTTTGGTAGATTCTATTTTTAAAGTATCATTCATTTATTTCTTATCTTCCCACAGTCTTCAATGTTGTCAAAACCTTGAAAATCATCTGTTTTCTTCTCCATTGTCTCTCTGGACACAGTGTCACATATTAGGAGCAAAGTGGTTAAATCTAAAGTGCCACTTTAAAGCCTAGATGAAGCTTGTGACTCCTAGTTGTAGACTTCTTGACCATGTCGCATACATTTGCAATATCACAAACAGTTAAGATGAAGAAGGCTCTTCACTCCATTTGATCTCTGTCTATCCATTGCTATCAAACTGTTTCTTAACAACAACAACAAATGACATTTAGACAGCACTTTTCTCGTCGGGAGGATGTCCCAAGGCGCTGGACAGTCAGGGAATTGGACCAGAGAAGCGGGATAGGATCTGGATGGTAGGAGTAGGAGGGTGGCCAAAGACATGATCGAAGAGGAGGATCTTGAGGTGGGCCTTGAAGGAGGCAAGGGAGGGAGCGAGGCAAAAGAACTGTGGGATGGAGGTCCATATGGTGGGGGCAGAGAGGCTGAAACTGAAATACAAACAAATCTGTGTCAGTAACTTCTGTGCTTGAATATACCACAGCCAAGACAATCAACTATCTGGCCCAGCATTGGCACACGCCATTATTAGCAAGGTTTGGATTCCAGTCAAACAGTTGCACCAAAAGAACAGAGGTACCAATTGGCACTGGAGCCCAATCACTTACCTCCAAAAGCTCAACCATTTTGCCACCTGACCAGCTAGATCCAAATACAATTGCCACACAGCTAGCTCCTGGTTTGTATGTCACCTTTAAATACTTTGATATAAGTGAGTAGTGAAGCAGAACCATTCAACCAAGAGGAGACAATTCTTCCATTTTATATCTCCTTCGATGCACACGTGACTCTCGGCAATGTCAATTGACATTTACAATTCTCATAATCACTGCAGTATTCATGTACCAGAGGGAATACAGCTTTAGAACAATATGGTATATACATGATTGTATATACTTGTGTCATACAACGGTAGCTCACTAATGAATATTAACTTTGTGATGGTGCTGGTGGTGTGAAATGTGCTTTGACACCTCTTATTTTATTTTCCAGCACATGGGAAAAACAGAAGACAGAGCATGTTGTTCTAGGCTGTCTTTCAAAAGAATAAAGAATTGAGTTCCATCTGCTTGCTGTTTTACATTGCAGCTACCCAAGATCCCGATTTGGTGAAGGCAAAAACTTTCCATTATGTTTCGAACGACAACTTGAACTTCTCTAACGTCTTCTTTACTGCCATCTTTGCAATGGAGTCTTCTTCAAACCTAGAGATTGTTTTATATTCGCTGGTCACAGTGTGACGTTTTATATAGATATATATATAAATATATATACACGCATGTATATTTATATATATATATATTTTAAAAAACGGTTTTATGGTTCACTTCTGCTGTTCTAGAGCCAGTGAGTTACAGCTGTTGTCGTTGTAATTCCAGCTGCAGTTTTGTGCAGGACTGGAAACACAGTGCTTATTTATTGGGAATCATTGCTGCTAAATGACTACTGTCCATATGTACCACAGCATCAGTGAGTGCCCTGGTGGAAAATGTGAGAGTGGCTTGTAGCATGTGAATGCATCTGTTTCCCCTATTAACTATTTTACAGCATTTGCAGGATTTTCCGTCTTTATTTGTTCAGCTGCTGTTGGCTTTTGAATGTCTGGTAGAAGTAGAAATCTTGCTTTTCCTTCAAATGTGACTGTGGTTAGCTCTCCCTTGAACCCTCAAAGCTCAAAGTGCAGAACTTGTGTTTGTGTAAAATCCTGTGCGGCCATCAGGCGTGCTAATTTTTTTCTTTTTTCAAAAAAAAATCAATTAAGCAATCCAGCAGCAAATCTGGTAATTTCGTAGTTGCAAAGTGTTTACATAGTCATTCCACCTCCTTTTGCCATGTCACTGTACAACCAGATGGGAATTCAAAGGGTTCCATTTTGTAACTGATGCATTTCTTAGACTGATATATTGATTTCACTACAGATCTTGTGTGTCTCCCGGAGTATCATCAGGAGGCTTTGGTTAACAGTATTGGTGTGTATGTAAGTGTGTTTGCCTTTCTAAATGATGGATTTAATGGACCTGATTTTAGGGTCACTTGATGTAAACTCAAGTTATCAAATGTGTATGATCATTGGTGACCAATTTTTTCTGACTTTTACTGTAAACTTATTCAGGGTCCTACCATTTTCTTAAAAATTGGGTAGTATGATGTTATTTAACAGTGTTAAGCGTATTTTGTATGTTTTAACTTTATTTGTGAACTGTGATTGATGGTGGCATGTTCAAAAGTGTTTTATATGTTGTTGCCTATGAATGGATTTTATTGGAGCTTTGCGAGAAGAAAAAGGAAACTGATTCATCGGTAACATTGTACATTGGACCACTACCATTCAACATTTATCAAAATGATTCCAAGCTGAAATTTGTAGATTGAACTAAAAACTGCTGTGCTATTTCTGACTGACAGTTCTATATTTTTTTCTGAAAATATAAATATTACAATGCATTTCTTGTTTTCATTGTTTGGAGTTCTTTCCTGGACTGTTGCCTTGTCGAGCTTTCATCAAGTTTCCTTACTCCACACAGCTCTGTTGATTTACCTAACAGTAAGTAGGTACCTGATTGCATTTCCGAGGGGGTCATAATGAATATTATGAATAAAAAAAACGTGGTCACTCAATCCACGACTGTTTGTGGGGACGCTGCTGTTTGCAATTGTCTGCTGTGTTTCGCCCACAAAATATAGTCAATTCACTTTATGGTCTATTCTGTGAAGCGCTTTGAGACTTCTTGAATAATTCTTGAATTCAATATAATAATATTGAAATGCAATATCAAATACAACTTATATTGAATTAATATTTGGATTCTTTTCCCACCTACATCTAGTACAAACATTTGTATTTTAGAAGCCATTTAACTTAATTTTAAATAACCAGATTTTTCTAATTCATCTTGTCACAAGTTTCTTTTTCAGATAGATTGATATATCCAGAAATTCTTCAGTATGCAACTTAATATATGAAATTTCTCATTGTATTTTCCTTGAGATAATTACAATGGATGTCTATTGCAATTAAGGCTTACTTGATTTTATTTTTCTTTCATTAGGCACATATCAGCATTAATTTTAATTGATTATTGAATTATTTTATAATTGGAATCAGTTTAGTCATCTAACCAGACCTTTACTGGAGTGGAATATAACGACTTCCATTATTTTCATAATGTGTGAGGGAGAGTACACATGACTGTTGATATAGTCTTTCTACCATATAGAGCACTTAATAATAATAATAAAATCCTTGCATTTGATATAACGCCTTATCACGTCTTTGAGACCGTGTATAATTTTTTTACTCTTGGTTTGCTAGACCCTCCTTTTTACCTTTGTGGTGTCTACACCTGCACTCTTGAATGAAGAATGGATTGAAAACAGAGGTTCTGATGTTTATTGAACCGCATATATTTTACAAAGTTGTAGCCAAAGTACAAATATGAGGCAGATCTTGCCTATAATACATAAAAACCGAATGATTGTTTGAAACGTACACTGAAAAATAACATCAATCGTACTTGCTAATACATAGTATCATGTCCTTTAACAGCCAATAATTGAAAACTGATACAAAGCTTCAATTATTTAATAATGCTAATAATCTGCTCTCAAGAACAGTTTACGGTTCATTTACAAGTTAAGTAAAAACACTAAGCATAAGTAGGCACAGCTGGTTAGACATTCATCAAAAGCACAGTGCATAAAACGCAAGGTACAAGGAAAAGGCTATATGTTTGTTACCAACTTCATTATAAAACGATGGGGAAACTCATTTGAAAAACACTTGAGAGGTATTCAATACATACTTCATGGTATCCGTCCACCTGAACTGGCAACTTAACATCAGTGATGTACAATCACTGCTACAAATAACTGATCATTGTTCTACATTTTGGCATTTATAAATGGTCCCTTTTACCCCTTCAGTGAAACACTATGATGATTTCTGGGTGTTTGATGAGAGCAGCAGGGGAGAGATCCCATCCAAACTGGGGATTGGGATGGGAAGGTGACCATTCACTAGAGTTGGGAACTGGAAATAAAAAAGGACAAGGTTAAACCATAATAGCACTCGATACTGTTTGATACCTCTGTTTTTGGAAAGTAACATTGATAATAATAATCCTTGCTTTGATATGCGCCTTATTACATCTTCAAAACATCACAAAGCATGTCACAAAACATACTGTAAAGTGAATAGACTATATATTGACAGTCATGGATTGAGTGATCAAATTTTTAAAAAAATATTATTGCAAGGATTATTGCTCCCGGAAAGCGATCTGCCAATCGACTAACAAGCGGGTTCCTACTGGACTGCTGGTAAACAGGCGTGTGGAGTGAGGAAACTTGCCGAACGTTTCGCTCTGCCCGGGAATCGAACTGAGTGCGAGGCGAGTGCTCTAACCAATACCCCACTGGACTCCACAAACCAATGTGTCTAAGAAGCATCTTAAACACAAGGACATAGTGATGAAGGAAAACAAATCCTGGTTTGTACTGACTTGCATAAAGCAGATTTGCTGTTACTAATAACAGTCGTGTACAGAAAAGATTTGTTAAAACAGGTAAGCAGATTCAAATATATTAAAATGGCTATGTTGTAATTGTAAGGTTGGCACGGATCATTGGTGCAAATCCAGGTTAGTTAAGACCAGGATCTTATTCTGACCAGCTCCCTGACACAGACCCTTTATGCTCACCACATAGTGACTTGGCTGAGAACTGATACAACTTAATTGACAGAATTGAATGTCATTAGCAACTATCCTTAACCTTGAATTCACAACAAGATGGTTGTGAACTGGTGGTGTTACAGCTGAGTGAAACCAGTACATTTTTATAATATTTCTAAACCTATTTATGAAATGTCTACTATAAAGTTCCAGAGTAAAGACATACCTGAAATAAAGAGCCTGGGCCCTGCAGTCGAGCAGGACTGAGGGGAGCCACTGGGCTGAGCGTGCTCCAGAAGTGAATACTGGACAGTAATGGGCTGGGGGTCAACAGGATTCCATTAGGTGTCTGTGACGGAGAAACACAATTTTACTATTGAGAAGTCTCAAAGCATCATCCAATGCATATAGACCCAGCTGTAGAGTTTTGCTGAACAAGTATTGGTAAGTGCACTAAATCTTCCTCTCTGTCTATACAACTAAAGAATTCATGCCAACCTAATACAGCAGGTTTTACTTGATACAACAGCACCGAAATGTCATCTGATTATACAGTAAAACTGGCCTAAGTCTGATCTGTATAAATCGTATCATCACTTAAGTCGTACATCTACCCAAGTCCTGTTCAAGAGGTTATATTCTACACAGGTTTGACATAACTCATATTAAACATATAGTCCCAACTGATACGACTTATATGAGGTTTACTGTATTTAAGTGCTAAGTAGTGTATATTTTTTAAAGGCCTGCAATGAATGAAAGATCGGTTCTTAAAATATGGTACATATCCCTATTCCAAGAATCCTCCCCCCACCTCACCAGCTCCCCACTCCCAGCGGTTGCCCCACTCCACCATCTGTTAAGCGCTTTGAGACGTGTTCCCTATGTGAAAGGTGCTACATAAATGTGAATTGTATTCTAATTTGTATTGTGATACAAATCTTTAAATCCAATTACTAAAACTCATCACATTAGCATCATCCTGACAAGTAAGTGAGTTATTGGGGAATAGTACCATTGTACTATTTTGTTTGTCGACTTTCTATCATTTAATTGTCATATCCATACTTTAATATTTATAATAATCCTTGCATTTGATACAGCGGCTTATCACGTCTTTGAGAGTCTCAAAGCACTTCACAGAATATACTGTAAAGTGGATTGACTATTGTGTGGGTGACACGTGGCAGCCAATTGCGCACAGCAGTGACCCATACAGTCTTGGATTGAGTGGCCAAATTATTATTAATTAATTTTTTTTTAAGTATTATTACCTCTGGAAAAGCGATCCCCCAATCAACTTAACCAGGTCCCTACTTACTGCGAGTACAGAGGCGTGTGTGTGGAGTAAGGAAACTTGCCTAAGGTTTTGCCCAGCCCGGGAATCGAACCTGGGTCCTCTTACTTGCAAGGCAAGTGCTCTAACCACTGAGCTATAATAAGCTCTGCTACAATTACTTTGTGCTCCATTGTTAAAGGCCTTATAGAAAGATGATGTTTGATATGGTACAGTATTAGGTCATTTCAAACACTGACCTGTGCAGTGAAAAAAGCAGGCGTCAAGGACCCTGAAGGAAGTGCTGGGCTGTTCAAGGCAATTGAACTGGCATCTGTGCTGGCTATAATTAAAGAGGGAGCTGGGATCTCCAGGCCTTTGGGTTTCTTAGCTTTGGGAGGATTGATGGGCAAACTTCTCAGCTCAGCTGGAGACAGCGATTTGCCCTTGGAGCCTGCTGAGAGGTTAAGAGGCTGAGCAGATTGTTCTGAATCATACAGATCGAGTTCAATAATGGAGCCCCTGTGGTGTCCATGTCCATGTGCTGCCAGGGAGGAAGGGTGTGAGGAGGGCGAAGCCATAGCAGAATGAAATGATGCCAAAGAGGATGGTGCTGAGGAAGAGAGAGTCGTGAAGAACGTTGAGGCAACTATGGCTTCTGGGGAAGGAGAAGGTGAGGAGGGGACTGAAACGATAGGCACACTCACGGCCTTGTCATTGCTGTTCGTGACAAATCTTATGACTGTCCTGACTTCTTCAGACGGAGTTTTCCTGGCATTTTTCTCCTCTGTTCTTTCCATTTTGATGGACTTGAAAAAGTCAGATCTGTTCTGCAAGGAATTAATGGTGAACGATGTATATAGCCCCGAGTGGATGTAATCATTGCGACTGGCGCCTCTGATCGCAGACAATGTCATTTTGTGGTGGTCTGCGCTGTCAGAGTTAGACTGAATGTCGGTATCCCTGAGCAAAAGGTTTTCTCTGCTGCTTTCCAGAGTGTGTGGGTCCATTTTTAAAATGTCTGGAAATGAGACAAATTTATAAACAAACTTCTGCCCAATCACCTTCTTAATAATATTCTGTGGAGAGGGAGAAATAATTGTGCATTAGAACGCAGACTGGAGGATAGTTTTCAACATTTGTAGCTTTACAGTATGTATAACATAGGCAGAAAGTAACAAAATGGACACCCGGTTAGTAAAAATGACATAACATAAAGATGTGAATCATATGGACAACTCCAGGTCATTTGAATCAACAACAACAAAGTGACATTTACACTGCGCCTTTCACATCGGGAGGACATCCCAAGGCGCTGGACAGTCAGGGATTTGGACCTGAGCTGAGGGTTGGGATCAGGAGGGGTGGAGGGCGGGGAGGGTGGGGGTAGGAGGGTGGTCGAAGGCACAATCGAAGAGGAGATTCTTCAGATGGGTCTTGAAGGAGGCGAGGGAGGGGGCGAGGCGAAGGGACTGTGGGATGCAGTTCCAGAGGGTGGGGGCAGAGAGGCTGAAGGCCCGACCACCGATGTATGTTTGGGGTGGACCGGGCGGATGGCACGGAGCAGGCCCGAGCCCACTGAGTGTAGGGAGCGGACAGGTCGATATGGCGTTAGCAGGTCACAGAGGTAGGGAGGAGCAAGGCCATGGAGGGAAGGGCTTTTGAGAAGACAAAAGAAGAAATACGAGGCCTGAAGGAGGGCAGTGATTGATTTTCTGAAATATCCATGTAAGATTAAGAGAATCCTCCATGTGCAGAGCAGAGGCATCGGTGTCCACATACAGTGGAAATCTCATGAGCTTCCTCATGGGGGAAGAGCAGAGGAAAAGACAGGTTCATAGTGAGATCAATGAAGCAGAATCTTAATAGTGGGGTCACTTTGATGTGGGTAATCAATTAAATTTCATTGAGGATATTCAATTTCACATTATCTAATCGATCGCCCATGATTATTGGCCGCCGCGTTTCGCTCACAAAATATACAGTCAATTCACTTTACAGTGTATCCTGTGAAGCGCTTTGAGACGTCGAGAAGATGTGATAAGGCGCTGTATCAAATGCCAGGATTATTATTATAGAAGTCTGCTGGGTAAATAAGTGTATGACACAGTACCTTATCGTAATAATATCTGAGTGCCCTGCTCAGTTTATCGTAGTTCATATTGGTTTTGTTTTTCCTAAGTCCCCACAGTTTGGCGACATCCTCGGCCTTCAGCAGTTTGAATTCCCCATCACTGGAGGTCCAGCAGATCAGATGTTCGTGCTTCTGGTCCAACAACAACTGCAGCAGAAACTGCCACAATGTGATTGCACTCTCCATCCCTGAAACACACAGCAGACACAGAGCCTCAGGATACCTGTAAGCTTTCAGCTTCCCTTTTTTGTTAGCGTTTTGCAATTGAGTAACCAGGACAAAGACACAGAACCTCGGCTTATTAATTCTTATCTTTCTGCTGGCTTGGGCATCTTGTGGCTCAGGGGTTACAGCCCTCGCCTCACAAGCGAGAGGACCCGGGTTTGATTCCCGGTCAGGGCGAAACCTTAGACAAGTTTCCTTACTCCACACACCTCTGTTTACCAGCAGTGAGTAGGAACCCGGTTGTTAGTTGATTGGCGGATCACTTTCCCGGGTGATAATCCCTCCTAAAAAAAACATTCTAATAATTTGGTCAATCTGCTGTGCACAGCCGCGTTTCGGCCACAAAATATACAGTCTCTAGACTTTACAGTGTATTCTGTGAAGCGCTTTGAGACGTCTCGAAGATGTGATAAGGCGCTGTATCAGATACAAGGATTATTATTATTGTTGTTGTACTATCATTAAATCACCACCAGATGGCGGGTCACTACACGTTCCACTCGATGCTTCGCCAACTGGACACTTTCTGCCTTCAGATTGCCATCCTGTTCCCAGAGTTGTTAGAAGATAAAAAGGATCACTTTTTGAGGTGTTTATCTTAAAAAGTGATCTATTTGTGATCTTTTTAACACCTTAAAATGATCGATTGTGGAGTCCTGTAGCTCAGTGGTTAGAGCACTCGCCTCACAAGCGAGGGACCTGGGTTTGATTCCAGGGCAGGACAACACTTTCAGTAATTTTCCTTACTCCACACTGTTTATCAGCAGTAAGTAGGAACCTGGTTGTTAGTCGATTGGCGGATCACTTTCCAGGGGTAAAAATTCCTTCAAAAATAATAATGATAATAATTTAGTCACTCAATCCACGGCTGTTTGTGGGGACGCTGCTGTGTGCAATTGGCCGCCGCGTTTCACCCACAACGTATACAGTCAATTCACTTTACAGTGTATCCTGTGAAGCGCTTTGAGAAGTCTCGAAGACGTGATAAGGCTCTGTATCAAATGTAAGGATTATTATTATCTAAAACAAATTCCCAAATGCTGGGCCAAGAACTGTTTTGTAGTCATGTTATAAAGTGGGGTTCCCTCCCTCAGCAGCCTGGCCGCCCAACACTGGCCATCCTCAAAGCAAGTCACCAAACCCCAGGAATGTACGGACAATCCCCACCAACACCTCACACACACATATATATATATATACACATCTACAACAACCACAGCAACTGGGATTTAAATAGCGCCCCCCACGCCGGACGGTGTCTGAGCTTCACACGAACGGATCCCGGGGCCGAGCCGCGGAGAGGGGAGGGGGAGGAAGGTGACCAAAGGTGCGGTCGAAAAGAAAGGTCTTCAGCCGAGACCTGAGAATAGGAAGAGAGGGGACGAGGGGAAGGGAGTGAGGAAGGCAGTTCCAGAGCCTCGGGGCACAGGGGCTGAAGGCACGTCCTCTCTGGGACAGGAGCCAGTGCAGTCTGGCCAGGACTGGGGGGGAGGGCCAGGACTGGGGGGGATCGGGGAGCGGGGTTGGGGGGGGGGGGGGGGCCAGGACTGGGGGGATCGGGGAGCGGGGTTTGAGGGTGGGGGGGAGGTCCAGGACTGGGGGGATCGGGGTTTGGGGGTGGGGGGGAGGGCCAGGACTGGGGGAGCGGGGAGCGGGGTTTGAGGGTGGTGGGGGAGGTCAGGACTGGGGGGATCGGGGTTTGGGGGTGGGGGGAGGGCCAGGACTGGGGGATCGGGAGCGGAGTTTGGGGGTGGGGGGGAGGGCCAGGACTGGGGGGATCGGGGAGCGGGGTTTGGTGCGGGTGAGAATGCGGGCGGCAGAGTTCTGGATGATGTGGGCTGTATGGATGGTAGTGGAGGGGAGACCGGTGAGGAGGGCGTTAGAGTAGTTCAGCCGAGAGGTGACAAAGGCCTGGACCAGAGTTTCTCACATCTCATATATACAAATGTCATCCTCATCATATACTGTACAGCAACGTATGGCTTCTCCTGTTTAAACCAAATGCAAAGCACACCAGCGCAGAGGGAAATCCTTAAATAAATTAAAGCAATCTCAAACAAATTGAAAGTTGGAATCATATGAAGCAGTTTCACATCCAGGAAATTCAGCATAAATTAGCAACGAAGCCTGAAAAGAGAAACCTTCCTTCTGGTTCACTAGTAAATGTTCTTCTGAAGCTGGTAGTCAATGCATGTTGTTGAAGCAACAGTTTACTTTGCATATTTATAGGGCACTCTACCCCTGGCCTCTACAGCCCTCTATATACTGTATATTTTACCTGGGGCACTTCAATCAGTTTTAAACTGCCAACTGTACTATTTAGCAGGATAAAGCCCTGGGGAATTTCATGGTACTTGTCCAACTTGGATAAGGCTACCAGCTTGGCTTGCAGAGTTGAGATCATGTCCATGTCTCCAAGTCAACAACAAAGCATTGGATATTGCCCAATATTGGATATTGTCTCTTTGAGACACCTCGTAGAGCTTTGAGATGTTGAGACATCACAAAGAGCTTTACAGTATATTCTGTGAAGTGCTTTCAGACGTCTCAAAGACATGATAAGGCGCGACATCAAATGAAAGATTATTATTACTAATAGTTTTGATCCCTAAGTGGTATTGATTAGACAATCTGGCTGGCTAACCCCCAGCGGCTTTGGGTTGTGGAAAGCTGGCGGCTTAAAATGCCTCCGTAACAATAAAACTACAGCTACTGTAGTAAAATACAACCCCAAATAACTGACTCCAAAAGGCAAGTCATTTGGCCTTGTATTTGAATCATCTTTAACAAAACCTAGTCAATCTGGCATAAGTCTGATCTGCACAAATTGTATTATCGCCTAAGTCATACATTTGCCCAAGTCCCATTCGAGAGTTTATATTCGACACAAGTTATGTTAAATGTATGGTCCGAAGTGGAGTCTTGTAGCTCAGTGATTAGAGCCCTCGCCTCGCAAATGAGGAACTGGGTTTGATTCCCGGTCAGGGCAAAACCTTAGGCAAGTTTCCTTACTCCACACGGCTGTTTACCAGCAGTAAGTAGGAACCCGGTTGTTAGTTGTTAGCTGGTGGATCGCTTTACTGGGGGTAATAATCCCTTCAAAATGAATAAATTATTTGGTCGCTCAATCCACCACTGTTTGTGGGGCAGTGTTGTGCGCCTTTGGCTACTGGGTTTCACCCACAAAATACACAAGTCAATTAATTTTACAGTCTATTCTGTGAAGCGCTTTCAGACGTCTCGAAGATGTGATGAGGCGCTCTATGAAATGCAAAGATTATTATTATATTATAATAATAGTGAAAATCCTGCAGCGAGCTGTGTGTTCGGGGCTCCATGGAATTGGAGTTGATAATTGGAGTTGAGGTAAAAATCAGCCATGAGCTAATAGAATGACAGGACAGGCTCGAGGGACTGAATGGCCTCCTCCTGTCTCTATGTTCCTATGAAGCATGTGGCCTTCAGCAACCAGAAATGTCAGCGTAATCACCAACCCGGCAAATCTTCAAATCCCAAACTGGATTTCACATTTACTTTCCTGTTAATTTCTCCGTCAATAACCGCGCGACTCAGTCAACTCAGGAAAGACAAATACTGGGAACCCCAATGTTCAGGGGTTTTGATTTTTGCATTTCTCATTAGCCGTGTTGAGAAAGCAATGTTTTCTGGCAGCACATCCTGTAGATTACAGTCTGTTCAACTGCTCAGCAAACTGTAAAACCTTCTAATTCTGGACTTCCTTTCATTATCGGTTTCAAATTGGCTGCCAAGTTTCACCCATAAATACAGTCACTCCACTTTACAGTATATCCTGTGAAGCGCTTTGAGATGTCTCAATGAGTTGATATAAGGCACTATATCAAATGCAAGGATTATTACTATTATCCAGGATTTTACCAGTCAGTGAGACCAGTTGCAGAAAAGTGGAATTAAATTGTGTGAGAAAGTGTGTGTGTGAGTGTGTGTGTGTAAGCGTGTGTGAGCATGTGTGTGTGTGTGTGTGAGCATGTGTGTGAGTGTGTGTGAGCATGTGTGTGTGTGAGCATGTGTGTGTGTGTGTAAGCGTGTGTGAGCATGTGTGAGTGTGTAAGCGCGTGTGAGCATGTGTGTGTGTGTGTAAGCATGTGTGTGAGTGTGTGTGTGTGAGCATTGTGTGAGCATATGTGTGAGTGTGTGTGTGAGTGTGAGGGGGAATTGATCCTCCCGCCCTCCAACCCTTCTGATCCCAACCCCCAGCTCGGGTCCAAATCCCTAACTGTCCAGCGCCTTGGGACATCCTCCCGACGTGAAAGGGTCTGTGTAAATGTCATGTGTTGTTGAATATTGAGCAGAGAGCCTAACTTTTGAAAATATCCTCTCTCTCTTAAATGATTGCATCGTTCTACCCTTTGTTTTCAAATTGACTTTTGTTTCACATAGAAATGGAACCAACCAGAACATGAAGTGTTTTTTTCAGCAGAGAGAAAATCTCTGACTGAATAATTGTAGTGTTTGGTGAGGCCCAAAATAGAGCCAACATTACATTTCATCAGGTCCCACACATCAAGAGTCAAAATACACAGCAAGATTTTGAACACGAGTCTCTCTCTCCCTCAACCTAACAATCCACACAACACGTTGACTCGCTCAGTCTGTGCTTGTGCTCCACATGATTTAACATTTAGCATCGCTTTACGTTTGGACAGCAAGGAACCAGAGTAAATGTATGTTGGAGCGAAAAGCACGTTGTGATGTGCTGTTTGTCTCCCGGCCCAGTGTTAATCAGCTGACCAACACTATTTGGTTCTCGAGTACAAACAGTTGTCATTTCTTGAGGTTGGTTCAACACTCGTGTTGAGAGTGACTCAATGTTCATAACTTGCTGTGCAGCCGAGCTCCTCAACCCCCATATACATATCTTGCATATTATTATTATGGGAGTCCTGTAACATACTGGTGCGTGCACTCGTTTCTCAAACGAGAGGCCCCGGGTTCAATTCCTGGGCAGGGCGAAGCGATGGGCAAGTTTCCTTACTCCACATGCCTCTGTTTACCGAGCACGCTGCCACATTTCACCCACAAAATACACAGGCAAATACTTTACAGTGTATCCTGTGAAGCGCTTTGAGACGTCTCAAAGACATGATAAGGTGCTGTATCAAATGCAAGGATTATTGTATCATTACATTATATTATTTGATTATTATTTTGTATATGGCATCATTCCCTTGAAAACCAGCATCTCAAATTAACAGCAGGGACAGAGCTAAAGAACCAAATGATCAGAGAACACAAAAAAAATTCCCCCTCGTGTTGACAAACAGAGACATCAAACCCAACACCATGCCATGTCTTCTGTGTGTTTTGGGGGGTGGGGGAAGGGAGGGAGGAACTGGCAGGAATCTCTCCCGCACCGAGAAAAAACATGCAGATCAGAAATAGATGAGGGCCGGCTCGATACAACACACAGCTGCATTTTTCTGAACATAATAAATTTATGTATTTACTTATTGATGTGCACGGACCACCACACACTATCTGCCAGTGTATAAAACCCTCCAGTGTTGTTGAACGGAAAGACCTAATGAGATTACTTGCTGCGTGCAGACATTACTGAGACATGACTAAATACGCTTTCTCTCTCTCTCTGGAGCGAATGGAAAATTCAGGCAGCCTCGCTCTCCCTCTCCCTCTCTCTCCCTCACTCACGCCCTCCCTTCCTTCTAAAACGCAGGCAACGCATTACTTACTGCTTTGCAAACTTAACCCCTGATTTACAATCCTCACCGGCAATGGGGGGGCGGGGGGGGGGGGGGGGGGAGAAAGAAAGAGGAGATCATTTCTTAATTTGAAACCGTTTCGCCCACAAAATACACAAGTCAATCCACTTCACAGAACATATATATCCTGTGAATTTGCTTTGAGACGTCTCGACAACATAAGGCGCAATATCAAAAGCAAGGATTATTATGATGATTATAAACATGCCACAGACAGACAGACAGACAGACAGACGGCTCGCTGTGTGGGGACAGACAGAGACGAGAGTGAATGCTGGAGTCTCCACACTTGGAAACCAAGCGAGTCTTTGTTTCCAGCAGTGACTGACTCACTCACTATGTTGTCTGCTGCCAGTTGCAAACCGGAAGCTCATGGCAATTAGTCTTTGCTCTCTCCAGACGCAGGAGAAACTCTTGTTTCAGTAAAAAAAAGGTTTCCCTTCGTCTTACGAGTCAGAGACCCTACTTACTGCTCTCTCTGTCTCTGTCTCTCTCCGTCTCTCTCTCTCTGTCCATCTGCCACAGTCTGGAACCTTTCACTCTCTCTCTGTGTGTCTGTCCCTCTGCCAGACTCCAATCCTGAACACATTGCTGTGCTTGACACAAGGCAAAACACTCCACTTCCCCCCTCCCCTCCCCCCCTAACCCTCCCCCTCCCCCCTCTCCCCCCTAACCCTCCCCCTCCCCCCCTAACCCTCCCCTCCCCCCTCTCCCCCTAACCCTCCCCTCCCCCTCTCCCCCCTAACCCTCCCCTCCCCCCTCTCCCCCCTAACCCTCCCCTCCTCCCTCTCCCCCCTAACCCTCCCCTCCCCTCCCCCCTCTCCCCCCTAACCCTCCCCACCACCCTCCCCCCTCTCCCCCCTTAACCTTCCCCCTCCCCACCATCCTCCCCCTCCCCCCTTAACCCTCCCCCCTCCCCACCACCCTCTCCCCCCTTAACCCTCCCCCCTCCCCACCCCCCTCTCCCCCCTTAACCCTCCCCTCCCCTCTCCCCTCTAACCCTCCCCACCACCCTCCCCCCCCTCTCCCCCTTAACCCTCCCCCTCCCCTCCCCCCTCTCCCCCCTTAACCCTCCCCCCTCCCCACCCCCTCTCCCCCCTTAACCCTCCCCCTCCCACCACCCTCTCCCCCCTTAACCCTCCCCCCTCCCCACCACCCTCCCCCCCTCTCCCCCCTTAACCCTCCCCCTCCCCACCCCCCTCTCCCCCCTTAACCCTCCCCCTCCCCACCACCCTCCCCCCTCTCCCCCCTTAACCCTCCCTCCCCCCTCTCCCCCACCACCCTCCCCTCCCCCCACCCCCTCCCCCTTAACCCTCCCTCTCCCCCCCCCCTCCCCCCAAACCAAACCAGAGAAACATTTTTTTGCTGGAAAAAAATCCAACAGTTAAACTCAACTTTTTTTTCAGTCAATGAAAATGACATATGCATTTCCCTGACTTTCAGCACAGACACAAATACACACACACACAGTCACACACAGACACACACACACACACACACACACAGTCACACACACAGTCACACACAGACACACACACACAGACACACACAGTCACACACACACACACACAGACACACAGTCACACAGACACACACACAGACCACAGACACACAGTCACACACACACACAGACACACACAGTCACACAGACACACACACAGACCACAGACACACAGTCACACACACACAGACACACAGACACACACACACACAGTCACACACACACAGACACACAGTCACACACAGACACACACAGTCACACAGACACACACAGACCAGACACACAGTCACACACACACAGACACACAGACACACACACAGACCACAGACACACAGTCACACACACACACACACACACAGTCACATACACACAGACACAGTCACACACACACACAGTCACACAGACACAGTCACACACACACACAGACCACAGACACACAGTCACATACACACACACACAGTCACACACACACACAGTCATACACACACAGTCACACACACACACAGTCATACACACACAGTCACACACACACCAACAGTCACACACACAGACAGACACACAGTCACAGTCACACACACAGACACACACAGTCACACACACAGTCACACACACAGACACAGACAGACACACAGTCTCACAGACACACACACAGTCACACACAGACCACAGACACACAGTCACAGTCTCACACACCCACACACAGACCCACAGACACAGTGTGAGGGGAAGTCACAGACTCTCCTCTGATCTCTGCACTGAATCACAGACATCGCTATCGCTGTTCCCGAGTGTTCTCGTCACTGTGTGGACTGAGCTCAGGCGGTACCGTACCCGGAGCTGAGCTGAGGCTGTGTGGGGTGTGGGGGAGAGTCCGGCCCTCTCCGGCCCCTCCGGCCCCTCCGGCCCTCCGGCCCTCCGGCCCCGGGGCTCAGTGGGAGCGCTCCGGGATGTCCATCGCTCGCTCTCCGCTGCACTGTGTCTCCGCTGTAACCGGAGCCGCGAGAACAGGAAACCTGAGCGGAGACCCACAGCCCAGAACCGCACTGCCCTTCCGCACCATTCCCCACAGGCGGTGGGCAGTCTGTGTCAACACGGCCCCCCCTCCCCTCCTCCCTATCCCCTCCCTCCCCTCTCCATCCCTCCCCTCTCCCTATCCCCTCCTCTCTCCATCCCCCTCCCCTCCTCCCTATCCCCTCCCTCCCCTCTCCCTCCTCCCCTCCCCTCTCACCCTCTCTCCATCCCCCTCCCCTCTCACCCTCTCTCCTCTCCTCCTCTCTCCAACCCCTCCCCTTCTCTCCATCTCCCCTCTCCCCCCCTCCCCTCCATCCTCCCTCTCCCCCTCTCCTCTCCTTCTCTCCCCCTCTCCTCTCCCCCTCTCCCCCTCTCCTCTCCTTCTCTCCCCCTCCCCTCCCCTCCATCCCCCCTCTCCTCTCCTTCTCTCCCCTTCCCCTCCCCTCCATCCCCCCTCTCCTCTCCTTCTCTCCCCTTCCCCTCCCCTCCATCTCCCCTCCCCTCCCCACTCGCCCCCTTCTCTCCCCCTCTCCTCTCCTTCTCTCCCCCTCTCCTCTCCTTCTCTCCCCCTCTCCTCCCCTTCTCTCCCCCTCTCCTCCCCTCCATCTCCCCTCTCCCCCCCTCTCCTCTCCCCCTCTCCCCCTCTCCTCTCCTTCTCTCCCTCTCCCTTCCCCTCCATCCTCCCTCTCCTCTCCCTCCTCTCTGCCCACTGTCCTCACTCACTCACTCACTCACTCCCTCCACTCACACACCTCAATCTGGGGTCAGGTCAGTCTGTTTGTTGCTCAGCAGCAGCTCCTCTTCCCCACCAACTCCTTATAATAATTATGATAACAATCCTTCCATTCCGTACGGTCCTGTGGCTCAGGGGTTAGAGCCGTTGCCTCACACGCGCGAGGACTTGGGTTTGATTCCCGAGCAGAGCAAAACCTCGGGCAAGTCTCCTCACTCCACACTCCTCTGATTACCAGCGGTCAGTAGGAACCCGGTTGCCAGTGGATTGCTTTCTGGGGGTAATAATTCCTTCAAAAAAAATTGGTCACTCAATCCACGACTGTTCGTGGGACGCTGCTGTGTGCCATTGGCTTCTGTGTTTCGCCCATAAAATATACAGTCACTACATTTTACATAATATTCTGTGAAGCTCTTTGAGACGTCTCAATGGCAGGATTATTATTATATATAGCACCTTATCACGTCTTCTCGACATCTCAAAGCGTTTCACAGAATATACTGTAAAGTGAATTGACTGTATATTTGTGGGCGAAGCGCGGCGGCCAATTGTGCACAGCAATGTCCCACAAACAGTCGTGGATTGAAAATGACCAATTTATTATTGTTTTGGAGGGATTATTATTAGGAGTGTGGAGTAAGGAAACTTGCCCGAGGTTTCCCTGCCGGGAATTGAACCGCTTGCAAAGCGAGTGCTCTCACCACTGAGCTACAGGACTCCACATATAATACTAATCCTTACATTTGATACAGCGTCTTATCACATCTTCGAGATGTCTCAAAGCCCTCACAGAATATACTAGAATTAAGGCAAGTCACTTATCTCAGAATTTGTTTTTCTGCCGCATGAAATACGTCCTTTGGGACTTGAATCCTGTGTGAAAGTGAAGTTTAAAAGCACTGCAGAACTTTCTTTTCTTTGTATCCTTTGGCTGACTAACCTGAGGTGAGACAGCGCGGTGTGGTGGTACCACTCACTCTGTGTGAGCCTGAACTCACCTGATTACAACCACAAGATTTTGCACTTTCTGCCACAAACAGGCGTGGATTGAGTGACAAAATTATTATTTTTAATTTTTTTATGGAGGGATTATTATCCCCGGAAAAATGACCCACCAATGAACTAACAACTGGATTCTTACTTACTGCTGGTAAACAGAGGCGCGTGGAGTGAGGAAACCTGTCTGAGGTTCAAACCCAGGTCTCTCGCTTGCGAGGCGAGGGCTCTAACCTGAGCTACAGGACTCCACAGAATAAGAAATAGGAAGGCTGTTTCTAAGCGTAGTAGATGTTGAGCTAATTGCAAAGTTTTTCAGAGTTAGAAATACACTGCCCCCAAACACAATGAACGGACAAACGGCTGAATAATTGCCGAAGGAAATGGACAAGTTCCTGCTTGAGGAGGGAGAGGAAGGATACAGGGCTGGAGTTGGGGTGGGGGGGGGGGGGGCAGATAGTCTGAAGCACCACATTCAGAACAAAAAAATCCTGTTGGAGAGTGACTGAGATGACCGTTAACACTGTGCATTTTTCTAACTTTTTTCTCATGCAATATTTTCATATCAAACATTACACGAACCTAACTGTTGTTATGCAGTCCTGTAGCTCGGTGGTTAGAGCACTCGCCTCGCAAGTGAGAGGACCTCAGTTCGATTCCCAGTGGGGACAACACACTGGTCCACTTTCCTTACTTCACACACCTCTGTTTACCCAGCAGATCGCTTTTCTGGGGGTAATAATTCCTTCTAAAAAAAATAATAATAATGTGGTCACTCAATCCACGGCTGTTTGTGGGACGCCGCTGTGCGCAATTGGCTGCTGCGTTTCACCCACAAAACACACAGTCACTACACTTTACAGTATATCCTGTGAAGTGCTTTGAGACGTCTCGAAAACATGACAAGGTGCCATATCAAATGCAAGGATTATTATTCTTATTATGTCTCACACATAAAGAAGTGTTTACCATCGGTTTCAAATGCAGAATAATTTCACCACTGCAGTGTCAAAGTTACATTTGTGCTCCTGGTTTCATTACTTTAAGAATAACTGTAATATTCCCAGGTGGACATAATTTTGCTTTGACTCTGCATTTATTTGTGTTGCCTTTACACTCTGGATTGAGTTGTGTCACTAATATAAATCGTGTGGCCCAGGAATGTACTTCAATCTTAAATTTCGGTGTTAGCCTGAGATGGTTTTGACAAAGCTTTCTCAGTGTGTGTTTTTGATTAAATCTAAATAGAAACATCAATAGATAAGTAAAACAGCTGGGGCAGATTACCACACCATTTTACCCTGTTGATATTTCCTGAATTCATTCTAATTTGAATTCACTGACTGTAATTCTTGTAGATTTCAGATTCCGCCAATATAATAGGCTTGTATTTTAAAATATTGAATGATTATTAATAATAATAATAAAAATAATAATCCTTGCATTTGATATAGTGGCTTATCATGTCTTCGAGACGTCTCAAAATGCTTCGCAGAATATAAGAATAAGAATATACTGTAAAGTGGATTGTAAAGTAAACTGTAAACTTTATTACTTAAAGAATCACACACAAACTAGAAACTAGTTGGATTGCTGCACGATGGCTGATTGCCGGATGAACGTGTAAGGATTAGATTCTTTTGCCCTTTCTATTCCCATGTTGTGTGAGTTACCGAAATCCTCCCTTAATTTTCAATTTAACTAACGAACTAACTTCCGTAGCCTCACAAAAGGATGGACAATAACAAAGGCGTACTGCTGCGGATTCAATCACCCTTCCTACTTCCTCTGGATATCCTTCAGTTGGAGGGACATTGGCATAGACAGGTTTTGTGTTGACATCCGCTCTGTATTGTGATTAACTCCGTGTCAGGACTTTGATGCTTTGGATCTTAGGATCAATTCTTTTCAGTGCTTTGCGTCTTTGCAGTTCATAGAATCATAGAATCTTACAGCACAGAAGGAGGCCATTCAGCCCATCGAGCCTGTGCCGACTCTTTGGAAGTACTACCAACTAGCCCCACTCCCCCACTCTTACCCCCCCCCCCCCCCCCCCCCCCCCCCCCCCCCCCCCCCCCCCACTCTTACCCCAACCAGTCCCCACTCCCCCATTCTCACCCCAACCAGTCCCCACTCCCCCCTCTTACCCCAACTAGTCCCCACTCCCCCACTCTTACCCCAACCAGTCCCCACTCCCCCATTCTCACCCCAACCAGTCCCCACTCCCCCGCTCTTACCCCAACTAGTCCCCACTCCCCTCTCTTACCTCATAGCCCTCCACAGTTTTCCTTTTCACGTTGCTATCCACTCAAGTACACTCTAAATACAATATCTGTGATATTTGTAATATTTCATTAAAAATGAGTAAACCAAACAGTTTTTTGGAGATGTAATGACAAAGGTTAATAACAATAATAATCCTTGGATTGAGTGACCACGTTTTTGTTTAAAGTGATCTGCCAATCGATGGACAAGTAGGTTCCCACTTACTGCAGGAGGTGTGTGGCGTAAGGAAACTTTCCTAACGAATCCAGGTCCTTGCTCTCACTTGCGAGGCGAGGCCTCTAACCACTAAGCTACAGGACTCCACAAATACTTCAGAAGAAAAACAGATGATAAATATAAACTTGCTCATTGGATTTACATTGAGTCCATTTGTGGCACGTTCTGTACACGGTGAGACTAAGCCTGAACTTAGCTTCTTTTGAATACCTTCTCTGAGCTTTTGTTCACATGGAGTAAGATGATTGCAACTGTCAAATCATCAATACTTCACAATCTGAAATCATTCTAACAAATCTTCAAATATTAAAGTGAACTTTTTTTTAAATTCATCAAATTATAATAATAAATAATAATCCTTGTAATTGGCAAAACGCCTTAACACATCATTGAAAAACAACACAAAACAGTCAATCTACTTTACAGTATATTCTGTGAAGCGCTTTGAGACAACTTTCAGAAGTGATAAGGCGCTATATCAAATGCAAGGATTATTATTATTATTATTACTACAAATTGCACACATGTGCTGAAGCAGCAAAGTCCTGTTTGGAGCCTTTAAAGCCACACCAAATGCTGTTTGTGATTGCACTGTCCTGGAATGTGTGCTCCTATTATGTTTTGGTTTCAATAGCATTGTAGAGTGATGAACTGGGTTTCAGTTCAGCTAAATAACAGCAGGTCAAATCAAGAGCTGAATGTCTAATCTTTACTGACTGACTTTATCTCGGTATCGAGGTTACGACAATCTCAGACTGTAGCATGATGTTCCCATAGCCTGATACAAGCCACCGTGACTATAATGTCAAGTCCATTCTCAAGATCATTGTAGGACTGTTGCTGTTAGAAGGTTTATACTCAAGACAATAATCCACTTT